AGGCCGATCTCGCCACCCTCACCCTGGGAGCAGCCCTCCCACGGCTCCCGTCTCACAGGGAGCACCCCTTTTGCTCTGCCTCGTGGGATGGGTGTGGGCGGTCACTCATGGACACTCATGATGGGCCAGGACCCCTCCTCTGCTGCTCCCCCTGCACAGAACCCCGAAAAAGCCATCACCACAATTACAAGAGTTAGGAGTGGACGTGCAGGATGGAGGGATGTTCACATTTCTTCCCACAGTGTATTTTCATTGTACGATAAATATGATCACAAATCAAGGAACACAGAGAAAAGAAAACAAAACTCCCCACAAACTTCTAACACGTCCACAACCACTGGGCACCTAGGCAGGGTCACCTCCAGTCTATGTGTGGGCCTACGCTGCGCGGGGCTGGATTTGGCGCCCGTGCTCTTGTGTCCTGTCCTGTGCTGGGCAGGCACTTTGTCTCCAGCTCATCTCCATCAGTCCCACGGCATGTTCCTGACTCGGTTAACTCCCCAAAGTGGAATTACGCTACTGGGAGGCACAGGCTTTTTCGGGCTCTCAGTCCATCTTGCTAAATCACTTTACAAAGCAATGCGTGCGAGCCCCACTGCTCCCTGACCCGGGGCGCGGCCTCGCGGTTCCTATTTGCGTTTATCTCATTGCGGACGGAGCGGATATTTCCCTGCGCATCAGTTCGCTCCTGGTAGATTTTTTGTAATAACCAGCATTTGTAAGGAGTCAAGAGCAGAGACCGTGAGGGACACCCTGCTGGTGATGGGAACTCACGTGGAGTGAGGAGGGACAGGGGCGCCCCTCCTGGGGGCACTCACCTGGCACTCCCAGCTCCTCCGCCAGCCGCTGGCCGAAGGCCTGGGCACAGAGCACACACTCGTCCATGGAGACATCCCTCACCGGGATGAAGGGGCACACGTCCAGGGCGCCCATCCGCGGGTGCTCCCCTGCAGAAAGAAGGGGGCTGAGGAAGGGGAGGCTCAGGGGTGGGCGTGGGCCCCATGGGCTCCCGCAGACCCCCGCCCTCTCCAGCCCCAACCTGCACCCCATCCACACACCCCGCTGTTCACGCTGACCACAGAGGGCCGGGGAGAGGAAGCAGGCCCCAGTGTTTTGCCATCTTTGTGGTAAAACCCTCCCTCTCCTAAAAGCCACAAAGATAACTTTCCGAGTGAGCCTGGCCAGGCTGCAAGGCCGTCTTGACCCAGCTCCAGCCGCCCAGCCCTCCCTCCCCTGGTCGCTGCGGGTCCGTGTGTCCTTCTCATAACCTGAGTCCCCCTGCTGTGGGTCAGCAGTCCCCACAAGATGGCAAGCCTCCTCCAGCCTCCCGTCTCTCCCATCCTCGGCTCCTCGCTTTGAGATAAGCCTCCTCTCTCTTCACCAGATGGGATCACTTAGAAATTTGCTCCTCGTGGACCTGGCCTCCCCCGCTGTGAGCCTGTGAGCGGCCCGAGACCCTGCCCTTTTGACGAGCTCCCTGTGTGTCCAGCAACCTTTGACCCTGCCTGTCCCAGTGAATCTGCTTGGTTTTGTGGGTTGTTGACAGGCTAGTTTCCAGCAGAGCGGTGTCTTTGCCTCCCCCTCCAGGGCCTGCTCAGAGTGTGAGCCTCACTGCCAGCGGCTCTCAAGGACCCCCTGAAACGTGGATGGGGGCCATCACGCACCTTCGCCTGGCACAGCACATTCCATGGGCTGCACCTGAGACCCCTCTGAGGACTCTAGGGTCCCCTGGGGAGAAGCCTGCTGGGCTGTCAGCCCCCACACCCTGCGCCGTGCCCTGTGGGCAGAAGGGCAGGCCCGACGCTCAGGACCCCTCACCTTTGTGCCTGCTCATGTCGATGAGCCTGGAGGCGGCTCGGGCGGCATTAAGGGCCCCCTCAACCACGTCCTCGGGCCGCCCCACAAAGGTGTAGACAGTGCGGTTGGTGGAGGGGCCAGCGTCTACGTCCAGCAGCACGCAGCCTGGGGTCTGTGCCACGGCTTGGGAGATGGCGTCGATCACCTGAGGACAAAGCCCTCCCACGCCTCAGTTTCCCCACTTGGAAGAGGGAACAGGAGCTTCAAGGGGGCCATGCCGCTCCTGTCCCCCCAAACACGGGCCTGAGGAGCTGGTGCTGAGCATTTGGGACTCCCCAAAGAGTGGGAGCCCGGGGGACCCACAGCCAGGCCACAGTTGCCAAGGAGGGGGCAACTGGAGACACCCTCCAGGGGAAACTGAGGCAGGAAGCAGACCCAGGGGGAGGGGCTGCTGGGGCTCAGACAAGGTGACCTACAGGCCAAGGTCAGAGGGTCAGGGCCCAGCCTCCCAAGCGGCCTCCAATGGGAGCTTCTGCATCGGGGAGGAGAATGAAGGGCCCAGAACCTTCTGAGGCAGCAGGATGGCCCAGGTTTGGGAGCAGGGGCTCAAGGCCCAACTGCTCGGTGGCCCTTGGTGGCCTGGCCCAACTCTCAGTCTCCTCAGGGGAGCACGGGGGTGATAACAGCTCCTGCCTCACCAGGCGCGGGGAGGGGAGGCGTAACCACGCGGGACCCTCAAACCCGGCAAGGACCCCAGCCTGACTGCCCACCCCCTGCCCCTTCCTCCCCCGGTCCGTCACCTCTAAGGCCCCCATGCCCACAAGGCACATCCCTTTTGAGAGAAGGTGACCCCCAACTGCACACCAAACAGCCCCCTTCTCCTTGCTCTGAGCCCCTTGCGCTGCCCCCAGCTGGCACCCCGGGTGCCTCACCTCCTGGTTGTTCCCCTCTGAGAAGTTGGGGACACACTCCACCAGCCGGGACATGGTCAGGACGCTCCTCTCACACGGCAGCCGAGGGAAGGAGGGACGCAGGGACGGCGCTCTCCAGTGCCCGGCGGGGCCCTCCCCTCGGCCAGGCTGCTTATTAACCACCAGTCCCTGCAGGAGGGATAGCCAAGGTCCCTGTGCAAATAGGAGCAGACCCCGGAGGGGCAGAAACAGGAGCAGACCCCGGAGGGGCAGAAACACGACCCCTGACCACGGCGGAGGGGGGCTGGCTCCACCAGCTGGGGGTGGGCTCCCCTGAGAAAGCATCTGTGACCTGGACCCTCAGTGGGGACAAGTCCTCACCAAGCTGTGGCCAGGTCAGCCTGGGATCCAATGCCAGCTGGGCCCAGGGCCACCTGATGGCCATCTGTGTGATCTTCCAGAGTGACCCTCTGAGTGACCCTGGTGTCATGGGCGAGGCCCCAGCACTGGACCTGGCTCTGGGCAGAGGTTGGCCCAGCTGGTCAGCAGGAGAGTGGTGGTGGTGTGTGCAGGTGTGTGGGATGGGGCCCACACACCTCGCCAGCTGCTGGCTGCTGCTCCCCAGGGCCGTAGGCTCCCCACGGAGGGCCGCATGCCCCAGGTCAGCAGCACAGCACACTGTGCACAGAGGGCCGGGCGCCTCTCGAAGTTCTTAATGATTTTTGAGCAGACGGGCATTTCCTATTTGCAAATACCCACCGACCTCGTCATCCCAGCAGCACATGGACACCCACAGGCCCCTCCCCAGAGCAGGCTGCACCCCATCTGTCGTCCTCCTGGACACAGGTGCCCTGCACAGCTTTTGGGGCAATCAGCATCTGAGGCTACTTCACCCCGTGGCAGTGTGGGGGTGACCACAGGGCCTGGGCAAGGAGATGCCTGGGTCTCAGATCCCAGCCATATGGCCTTGGGACCCCACCCCTCCAGCAGCCACCCCTGGGGCGGCCAGAAGAGCCACAGGCCACCAGAGGCCGGGGGCAGGCCGGTCCTCACCAGCTACGGCTCCCCTGTGTGAACACGGGGGACCGTGGGTGACAGATGTACCACCTCCGGGTCCCACGAGGGCATGCGGGAGCCTCAACAGCACTGGGCAGATGGCAAAGGCCCAGCAAGGGCAGCTCTCCAAACCCACGCCCGACGCCGAGTCTCACACAGAGAGAGCCTGCAGCCCGGGGGGCGCCAGGAAGTGCCCGCCAGCCCCCCCTCTGCTAGACAGGCCTGGTGCCGCATTTGTGCACCCCACAGAGGCCCTCGAGGTCACGGGGAGCCCCTCAGCTGGGGGTTGGTGTCCAGCGGCTGGGAGGGGGAGACCAAGTCAGTTATGGACTGAATTGTGTCCCCAAAACGTATGTTGAAGCCCTGACCCCAGCACCTCAGAATGTGACTGTATGGGGAAATAGAGTCTTTAAAGGGGTGATTAAGTAAACTGAGGTCCTAAGGGTGGACCCTAATCCAGTCTGACTGGTGTCCTTGTGAGCGGAGGAGATGAGGACACAGACACACACAGAGGGACGGCCATGAGAGGACACAGGGAGAAGACGCCGTCTACATACCAAGGAGACAGGCCTCAGCGGAGCCAACCCTCCCACACCTGGGCCCAGGGCCACCTGATGGCCCTTCCAGGTGAAGCCAAGCCCCAGAAGGTGCCAGCGCTGGGCCCTGGACCTGACCACAGGGCCCAGGAAGTCACCTGTCCTCTAGACTTCAGAAGAGGCAGGGACTGGAAGGTTCCAGTGGGCAGGGGGGTACGGTGCGTGTGTGCATTGAATCATCTCCCAGATAAACTGGCTTCCCCGGGGAACCTATACAGGGGCACGGGCCCACTCGGTCTAATGGTCTGCTGTCACCATCTTGAGATTCCTAAGTTTTGAATAAGGGCCTGCATTTTCATTTTGCACGGGGTCCTGCAGATTCTGTAGCCATCCTGTGTGCACCCAAATCCTTGCCTCAGGCTCTGCGTTTGGGGAGACCCAAACTGGGTCAGGACCTGCTGGCCCTTTCAAGGGGAGGAACTAAGACCTCAGAGGATGGTGGCGGGGAAGGTCCTCGAGGTTGGGGGTCTGTGGGCCTTGCCTGAGCCACAGCCCCTCCCCCTCCAGGCTCTGTCCAGGCTTCATCCCACAAACACCTGCGGCCCAGCAGTGACCAAGGCGCTCTCCATGCCCTCAAAGAGCCAAAGGTAAAGGCAGACAAGTCAACAGATGATTTTAATAAAGTGCGACAGTACCACACGGGTGTGGGCGCAGTGGGGCTGTGGGCACCTGCAGGTGCCCGGCCCGGTCCGTGACAGGTGCCTGCTCCAGCGCCGGGCGCCTGCCTGCGGCCCTGGGTGCTCCCTCAGGACATGGCCCTTGCCCCCGGCCGGAGGGGACGCACAGGAGGCACGGTGGCCCCCGGGTTTGGAACAAACACGTTTATTGCAGGGAGGGCGTGCGGGTGCGGGCTCACCAGGCGAAGAGCGGCCGGCTGTCCTCCTTGGAGAGTTCGCACAGGCAGTTGAGCAGCAGCAGCGAGTCACCCAGGAACTTGGGGGGCACGATGTCGATGACCAGCTTGCGCAGGGCGGCGGGGCTGCTGTGCAGCGGGTTGGCGCGCAGGTCGGGCCGCTGCTTCAGGATGCCGTAGGTGTTGATGAGGAACTCGCTGAACACGGGGTGCACCTCGCGGTTGTAGCCCAGCTTCTCCAGGCGCGCCGTCAGCGTCAGGTAGCGGTGCGTCAGCTCGCGCAGCTTCTTCTCGTCCACGGAGCCGTCCAGGGACTTGATGGACGTCTGGGGGCACAGCGCAGGGGGCAGGTGGGGCCGGGCTGCATCGCCCGGCCATGGGAGGCCGAGGCCGAGACCCGGGGCCAGGGGGGACAGTGACCAGATTTTCAGGAATGAAGCTGCGTAGATGGGAAGCTGAGGCCCAGAGCCAAGCCCCCGACCCCGACCGAGCCAAGTCTCCCAGCCCCCTCCAATGACACTGTCAGGGACAGGAGCAGGGAGCTCCATCCCTGGCACGGAGGAGGAACCTGCCTGCCAGCACCGAGCATCAAAGCGCTCTGTGCCCCAGGGGCCACTCGAGACAGTCCCAGGGCGCAAAGCAGACGGTGCGAACAGAGGTGCTCATGGCAGAGGCTCATCACACTCCACGGCACGTGTGCCTCGGACACCCCGCAGCCACACCAGGCCTACAGCTGTGAGCACCATGGGTGACAGGGGAGCGAGGGGACCCTCTCCCTGGGCAGTGGGGGGGTTCTGGGGCAGTGAGGGGACCTGGGCAGTGAGGGGTCCTGGGGCAGGGAGTGGACAGAGGACAGGGAGGGGACCTGGGGCAAGGAAGGGACTCCAGGAATGGGGGGGGACCCAGGGAAGGGAGGGGACCCCAGGGCAGGGAGAGGACTCAGGGCAGGAAGGGGGATCCTGGGGCAGGGAGGGGACCCCAGGGAAGGGACCCAGGGCAGGGAAGAGACCCCAGGCAGGGAGGGGACTCAGGGTAGGGAGGGGACCCCGGGGCAGGGAGAGGACAGAGGGCAGGGAGGGGACCTGGGGTAAGGAAGGGAGTCCAGGAATGGGGGGACCCAGGGAAGGGAGGGGACCCCAGGGCAGGGAGAGGACTCGGGGCAGGAAGGGGGATCCTGGGGCAGGGTGGGGACCCCAGGGAAGGGACTCAGGGCAGGGAAGAGACCCCAGGCAGGGAGGGGACTCAGGGTGGGGAGGGGACCTGGGGAAAGGAGGGGACTCCGGGAACAGGGGAGACTCCGGGCAAGAAGGGGATCCCGGGGCAGGGAGGGGACCCCAGGGCAGGGGAGGTGACCGGAGACAGGGAGGGGACCCCGGGCAGGGAGGCACACCTGCTTGATCTTCTCTGGGATGTTGGACACAGTGAAGCCGTAGAGCCGGGTCACCCCCGGGAACACGAAGGCCAGGATGCGCCGGTCCAGCTGAAAGGCGATCTCCCCGACGATGCGCCCGTCCTTCTCGGTGCTGGCGAAGCTCTGGATCTCTGCGGGGAGTGGGGTCGGTGAGTCAGGCCAGGGTCGGGACACGGAGGTCAAGGGCCGCCCGGCCCCTCCTGCCTGCGCTCCAGGATCCACTTTAGGGAAAGGACGACCTAAATGCGCCGCTGTGGGTTTGGGGCGAAGGCTCTGGGGCCCCTGGCAGGCCTTCCCTAAGGCCCTGGTCATGATCGAGGTGTGGGGGCACCCTTCTCCCCCGCGCCCACTGTGGGGTGAACACAAAGTTAAAAGAAAACTGCACTTTCTATTCCCAAACGGGATAGACCTTTCCTCTCCTCCCTTTTCTTAGTGTTCTCTGAGGAACCTGTGATCCTAAGTCATTTCTCTGTCCCTTTGAGATGGATGTAAACGTTGTAAAATCCTGTTTCACAGCCCAGGATTGCTTTCCTCATCCCCCTGTCAGCAGGGAGTCTGCCCAGGCACCAGGGTCAAGGTGTGACCCCCTGCTTGTCACAGAGGCCCCACCCCCACAACCAGGTGGAGTCATGTGGGCTGGGTGGGTCCCCCACCTGCAGGCAGGTACCCGTCAACCTGGGAACACGTGTGTGATGCATGTAACTGGACAGCCTGCCCAGCTACGCAGAAGGAGAGATTCTGTTGTCTTGGCAATTTCTGCATCACGGCCACTTCACGTTTACTTGATAAGAAAACTTTCTTCCCCACGATCATGGGGAGGATTGCTGGGTTGGCAGGAGATTCCATTTAACTATTTCCCCAACGTTACCCAGGCACATCGACCACCCTTCCTTCCAAAACCTGCTTCCAAATCTCCCGAGGAGCCTCTGCTGCCATCCTAGTCATTCAGGAAACAACTGTCAATACCCTCCAAAGCCGGTGTACTCTGAACCACGCTACCGACTGTGACTGTCAGAGGCACCAGAAACTGAGAGACAGCAGAGCGAGGAAAGGTGCTTGTGGCCAGGCCGCCATGCCAACCGGGATGCCCCCCGAGAGCAGGGCTCTGGGCACCCGTGTCCCGCCCCTGCAGCTCCACAGGCCCGTCACCCCCACCATCTGCTGTGTCACCCTGAGAATGCCCATTTCTAAAGCCTTCCCTAAAGCCCCTGTGACCTTTCCAGACCTGACCATGGTCCAAACCCCCCAACAGTGTCGGCCGGGTGCAGCCCTGCTCAGTCCGTCCAGCAGGCAGGCAGTGCATGAACGGGAGGGGTGCTCTGTGTGGAGAGCCGGCTCCCAGGTCCTGCTGCCCACAACACCTGTGCCCACTGACGGGGCTCAGGCCCCCGACACCCAGGACACCCCACACGTGGAAAGGTGGGCTCTGAGTCCCACCCTTGCTGGCGGTGCTCTGTGGCCTTGGGGAGTCGCCGAGCTGTCTGAGACCAGCCCAGGAGAACTCCCTGTGCGGCCATCTGTGCAGCCGTGCTCCAGAACCAGCTCTGCCTGCGACCTCGAGCAGTTGTCCACTCTCCCGTAGCCGCATCCTGTGACTGTGCCATGTAACCACTCATCCCGGTGTCCCACCCATCACTGCTGTAGGAACCTGATGGCCACTCCTAGCACATAACGGCCAGTCAGCACGGGCCTATCAAGCCCAGGTGCCAGGCCCCCTCCATTCTGGACGGGCTGCTGCGTGGACACAGGGAACAGGCCAGGTGTGCCTGTCCCTCCACATGCTCGGCCATGCCTGTGCAGGCACTGAGCGGGGAGCGTCCAGGGACGAGGTGCATTCCGGACAGTCCAGGTCTCAGGGCAGGTGGGCTCTGCAGGTGGGCTCTGCAGGAGGCAGTGGGGCAAGGGAGAGGCCGCAGGGGTGTGGACGCCCCAGGCAGGGGGCCCACCTGAGCCACATGACCCAGAACCACAAGAAGGCCATAGGGTTGCAGGGCCCTGGGGTCGCACGGTCACAGGTGGGGAAGCAGGAGATGAGCTGGGGCAGAGGGCCAGGCTTCTGAGGGCCGAGGAGAAATGCTGGGGTGGCCCGTGGAAATGGGAGCCACAGAGGGTGTCGAGAAAGTGACCTGGTGGTCGCTCAGGCAGCTGGAGCCTCAGAACAGGCGACAGCTTCCAACGAGCCTTGGGACCTCGGGGTTAAACCAGCAAGGGAGGTTCCTAGTCGGCGTGATGGGAGCTGGAGCCTCAGAGGTATCGGTGAGGCAAGCCAGCAACCGACTGCGCTGAGGTCATGCGGACCTGGCAGCGCCTGCATCTGTTTCCTCCCTCCAGGAGCATTTTCCGGTCCTTCCGTGACTTGATTCATCCTCACAATGACCCTTCGAGGGGGCATTAGACCCCACTTACGGACAAAGGAACTGAGCCTTAGGGGACACTGCTTCCTCAATCACTCCTAAATTTTTTTGTTGAGACATAATTCACATACTATAAAATTCACTCTCTTAAAGAATGCAATTTAGCAGTTTTTACTATATTCAAAGAACTGTGCAACCATCTCCACAATCTAACTCCAAAACATTTTCATCAACAAAAAGAAAAAACCTGTACCCGTTAGCAGCCACTCACAAACCCCCTCCTCCCAACCCCAGCCCCTACAACCACTAATCCCCTGTCTGTCCCTATGGATTTATCTATTCTGAACATTTCATATAAGTGGAATCATACAGTTTGTGATCTTTTGTGTCTGGCTTTCACTCAGCATGATATTTTCGAGGTCCATCCATATTGTAACGTGTATCAGAACTTCATTCCTATTTATGGCTGAATACTATTCCATTGCATGGATGGACTACATTCTGCTTATCCATTCACCTGCTGACAGGCATTTGGGCTGTTCCCACTTTTTGGCTGTTATGAATAATGCTGCTATGAACATTCATATAAAAATTTTTGTGTGGACAAATGTTTTCAGTTCTTTCGGATGTACACCTAGGAACGGAATTGCTGGGACACATGCTAACTCTACGTTTAACTTTTTGAGGCACGCCCAGACCGTTCCCACAGTGGCAGTGCACGCGTGTTCCACTTTCTCCACGTCCTCGCCAACATGTGTTATTGTCCATGTTTTTCATTCCAGCCACGGGTGTGAGGTGAGTCTCACTGTGGTTTTCATTTGCACTTTGCTGATGACTGATGATACTGAGCATCTTTTCACATGCTTATTGGCCCTTTGTATATTTCCCTTGGGAAAATATCTATTCAAGTTCTTCGCCCATTTTTAATTGAATTGTTTGCCTTTTTACTGTTGAGTTGTAAGAGTTCTTTATACATTCTGGATTCTATTCCCTTATCAGAGTCATGATTTACAAATATTTTCTCCCATTCTGTGGGTTGACTTTTCACCTTCTTGAAAGGCGTTCCTTTGAAATACAAAATTCTTACTTTTGATAAAGTCCAATGTTATCTGCTTTTTCTTTTGTTGCTCATGCTTTTAGTGTCACATCCAAGAATCTATTGCCAAATCCAAGGTCATAAGATTTATCTCTATGTTTTCTTCTAAGAGTTTTATGGTTTTAGCTCTTTTAGGTCTTTTAAGTCTTCAATCCATTTTGAGTTAATTTTCATATGTGGTGTAAGGTCCGACTTCATTCTCTGCAGGGGGATAGCCACTTGTCCCAGCACCATTTCTTGAAAAGACTATTCGCTTTCCATTGAATTGTCTTGGTACATTTGTCGAACACCAAACCCATAAATTCACGTGTGTATTTTGGACTCAATTCTATTTCATCGAGCTGTACATCTGTCCTAATGACTACCACACAGTCTTGATTTCTATAGCTTTATAGTAAGTTTTGAAACCGAGAAGCGTGAGTCCTCCAATCTGGTTCTCCTTTTTCAAGATTGTTTTGCCTATTCGGGGTCCCTAGCATTTCCATCTGAATTTTAGAATCAACTTGTCAATTTCTGCAAAGCAGCCAGCTGGGATTTTGATAGGTATTGTGTTGAAACTTTTAGATCTATTTGGGGAGTTTGCCATCTTAAGGATACTAAGTCTTCTAATCCATGAACACAAGATGTTTTTCCATTTATTTACGTCTTCTTTAACTTCTTTCTACAGTGTTTTGTAGTTTCCAGTGTACTCCTTCCCTAAGCACTGTGCAAGGCTACAGAAGGTACCCAGGAATTAATACACTGCACAGAAGCAAGTTAGGGCAGATGAGGGTCATGGAGCAGCAGGGTGCAAACTCCCCCTTCTATAGTAATACATTCCTCTCATCAGGGAATCAGTTTCTCTCCCCATCCCCCGCAAAGCATAAATTAGGTAGAAGAGACAAGTTCCACCTGAGATATTCTAGAAATCATTTCTAGTCCAAACTGGGCCTTCCAAGATCCAGCCAAAAACCTATTCTTCAAAGAAAAAAGTCAATAAAATTGATAAACCTCTAGCCAGACTTATTAGGGAAAAAGAGAAAGAAGACAAAAATTAACACTATCAGAAATTAGAGATGGCAGATCCTACAGACATTAAAAGGATAATAACATAATATTAGGAACAACTTTATGCCAATAAATTTGACAACTTAGATGAAATGGGCCAATTCCTTAAAAGACACAAAACTCACTTCTGTGTGTGAACTACCAAAGCTCACCCAAGAAGAAATAGATCATTTGAATAGCCTTATGTCAACTAAGGAAACAATCTTTGGCGGGGAAACATTCCTACAAAGAAAACTCAAGGCTTAGGCGGTTTCAGTGCTGAATTTTACCAAACATCTAAGGAATAAATAATACCAATTTTATACAAACTATTCTAGATAATTAAAGACGATGGAACACTTTCTACCTCATTCACTGAAGACAACATTAACCTGATATCAAAACCAGAAAATGACATTACAAGAAAACTGTAGACTAATATCCCTCACAGACAGCAAAAATTATTAATAAAAATTTAGCAAATTAAATCCAATAATACAAAAATGTATAATACGTAATGACCAAGTAGAGTTTATCTCAGGAATGCAAGGTTGGTTTACAGTTCAAAAATAAATCAAGGTAATTTACCATATTAACAGACTACAAATGAAAACTAAATGCTCATCTTGATAGATGCAGGAAAAGCATTCAACAAAATCCAACATCCATTCATGATAACTTTAAGCAAACTAGGAATTAAAGGGAACCTCTTCAACCTAATGAAGGGCATCTACAAAAACCTTCACTAACATCATACTTAATGGTGAGAGACTGAATGCTTTCTCCCTACATCAAGAAAAGACAAGAATCCCTACTGTTACCATTTCTATTCAACATTGTTCCAGAGGTTCTAGCCAATGCAATAAGACAAGAAAAGGAAACAAAAGGCATACACATTTGAAATGAAAAAATAAAGTTGTCTCTATTCACAAATGACATGATCATCTATCCTAAGGAATCTACATACAAAGCCACTAGAACAAATAAGTGAATTGAGTAAGTTTGCCAAATGCAAGGTTGCATTTGTCAGGGTTCTCCAGAGAAACAGAAACAGAACCAATAGGGTGTGTATATGTGTGTGTGTGTGTTTATTATAAAGAACTGGCTCATGTGATTATGGAGACTGACCAGTCCCAAGATCTGCAGGGTGAGTCAGTAAGCTGGAGGCCCAAGAGAGCTGATGATGTAGTTCCACTCCTGAGTTCAAAGGTCTGAGAACCAAAAAAACCAATGTTGGGTTCCCCTCTGAGGGCTGGCAGGGTTGAGACCCAAAAACAGCTGATGTTTCAGTTGGAGTCCAAAGGCAGTCTGGCAGGAGGAATTCTCTCTTCCTCAGGAGATGGTCAGCCGTTTTGTCCTATTCAGGCCCTCAACTGATCAGATGAGGCCCACCCAAACTAAGGAGGGCAATCTGCTTTACTCAGTCTATTAATTTAAATATTAAACTCATTCAAAAGCAGCCTCAAGGAAATACCCAGAATAATGTTTGACCAAATATCTGGGCACCTCATGGCCCAGTCAAGTTGACAAACAAAATTAACCATCATAGGAGTCAATACACAAAAATAAATTGTGTTATTATACACTAGAAACAAACAATCAGAAATTGAATTGTTAAAAACAATACTATTTATTATAGCATCAAAAATATAAAATACTAAGGCGTAAATTCAACAAAATTGAGCAAGATCTATACATAGAAAACTATAAAACATTGCTAAGAGATATTTTTAAAGACCTAAATAAATGGAGAGCTATTTAAGTGTTCACAGATCTGAAGATTCAATATAGTTAAGGTGTCATTTCTCTGAAAATTGATCTAATTAAGCTGTAGAACCAGGACAACCTCACTCAAAACCCCAACAATCTTTTTTGTAGAAATGGACAAAGTTGATTCTAAAATTCATGTGGAAACGCAAAGGACCTAGAATAGCCAGAACAACCTTGAAAAGGAGAACAAAGTTGAAGAACCTCATTTGCTGCCTTGTTATAAAGCTACCATAATTGAGACAATGTGTGTGGGAATCAACACAGATGCGGATAAATAGGACAGCATGGAGAATCTAGAAGTACATTCATACATATGTGGACAATTGGTTTTTGACAAAGTGTCCAGGCAATTCAGTGGGAAAAGGATAATCTCCTCAAACACTGGCACTGGCAGAAGTGGATATCTAATGCAAACCTCATACCCTCTACAAAAATTAACCCGAAATTGATCAGAAATGTAAATGTAAAACCTAAAACTATAAAAAACTATACAACTTCTAAAGGAACACATTGGAAACAATCTTTGTGACCTTGAGTTTTGCAAAGATTTCTTAAATAGGACACAAAAAGCATAAACTATATAAAAGAAAAAATCAATAAACTAGACTTCATTACATAGTTTGCGCTTCAAAAAACACTGTTATGAAAATGGAAAAGCCACAGAATTGGAGATCATATTTGCAAAACATATAACTAAAAAAGGACTTGCATCCAGAATACATAAAGAACTCTTACAACTTGATCTTAGGAAGATAAGCAACTCAATTTTTTTTTTTTTATAATTTTATTTATTTATTTATTTTTCCCCCAAAGCCCCAGTAGACAGCTGTTTGTCATAGGTGCACATTCTTCTAGTTGCTGTATGTGGGACGCAGCCTCAGCATGGCTGGAGAAGCAGTGCGTCTGTGCGCGCCTGGGATCCGAACCCAGGCCACCTGCATCAGAGCGCACACACTTAACCGCTAAGCCACGGGGCCGGCCCTCAATTTTTTTTTTAATGGGCAACAGATTTGAACAGACACAGCCCAGGACCCTGGCCTCCCAGCCTCACTCTGCTCCCTCTGTGTGGCTGGATGGAGAAGTTCTGCCCAGCAGGGCCACCCAAACCTGCCCTCCTCTACTGCCGGCCACCCACCCCGTGCCTGCCCCAGTGCCCCTTGCCTGGCGGTTACCGTTCAGGTAGTAGCTCCTCCTGGTCCTGTCCCCGCAGGGCAGGCTGCTCTCCGAGAAGCACACCTTCTTGGGCCGTACCATCTCCCTGGGCTCCAGCAGGGCCTTGTCCACCAGCGGGTCCTGCAAGGGGCTCAGGAGCGAGGACAGCTTCCTGTCAGTGCCACGGGGTGCACGCAGCTCCGGGGGGCTGAGGAAAGCCTTGAAGGGCGCCTGGGAGGAGGTGGCACAGCCGGGGGAGGTGTCATCTTCGCTGGAGAGGGGCGCATGCGAGCACAGCAGATCCTCTAGGGAGGAGGTCTGCAGCTGGGAGGGCGCTTCAGGGACACTGGCAAACCTTCCAAAATCTGCAACTGCGACAGGGAGGAAAGGGACAAGAAGTCAGTCTGCTGTTCCTAAAACACCTCCGAGAAATGTAGAGAACACTCAAGAACACTCGCAGGCCCACCCAAGGCTCTGACACCTGCCCGCACTCCCCCCTGCTTCAGAGCCCTCCCCTTCCCCCGGAGAAGGTGATGGATGCGGGTGCAGCAGCCGTGTGCGCCATCCCCTGTTCAAGGAAGCTATCAGCCTTGGGGTTATGGGCACAGTGAGTGTGCGTCCCCGCACACACTTCCCACCCATCTGTGCATCCACGCACAATATAATCGACAGTGACTTTTATATGCTTTTTACATTTTAAATAAATGAGATCATCCTCTCCATGTTTTATTCTGCAACATACCTTTTTGCTGCAGCGTTATCTTTTTTGAGATTTACCCATGTTCATTCACTTGGTAGCTGCGTGGTTCATTTAATCATTTCTTGGCACATGTGTGCATGCATGTGCACGCACACATGCACACACAGCAATTTATTTATCCATTGCCCTATTGATGCACGTGGGGCTGTTTCCAGGTTTCCTTATAAAAGCAACGCTGTCATCGGCATCCCTTGATGCCTCCTTGCTCACAGCAGTACCTTCTGCTGTCCACACCTGGGCTCAGGTGTGTGCATGTTTAACTTTCCTTGCTTTCTACGACAGCGGTGGCAGTTCCCTGCCTGCCAGCGGCCTCCGACACCACACTCGTATCAGGCCTCAGTATTTGTAGACCAGGCTGACGACGACACATGGCTTTTCCCTAATCCCTGGGACGGCAAACGTCTTTCCCTGTGTTCATTGGCTTCTCGGGTTTCCATTCTGTGAATTACCTGTGCCTTTTCTGTGCTCATTTTTCTGGTTGGGTAGTCTTTTAAAATTATTTCTGGTAGTTCCTTTTGTATTCTGCATACAAATTCCTAGTTGATAAAATGTGTTGCTTATATTTAAATCTTTTTTATGGTGACTCTTGTCATGCAGAATTTTTAAAATTTTAATGTGAATTTAACTTATCGATTCTTTTGTGGTTTACGAAATCCTTTTCTACCCTCATGTCATGAATTTGCTTTCCTAGCAATAAGGCAAATATATATTTGAGAAAGTGTTTTTTAAGAGCTATATTGAAAAACTGTATCCTAAAATGTGCCTACTCAGGAGCCAACTTATCCCCCTCCAGCAATGCTTTCCCAGAAAAAACCTTCATGAGAAGGAGAGGCAGCACTGTGTGTCCTGCCCCACCTGCCCACATGGCCAGCACAGTCTGTTGGTGGCCCCGCTCAGGGCCTCACAGCCTCCCACCCCAGCCAACCACATGGCCCAGAAACTGTCCACAGAACACCTTTCCAGAATTCACCACACTTGAGGCATCAAAAAGCCCCCAGGGCCGGCCTGGTGGTGTAGCAGTTAAGTTCACGCACTCTGCTTTGGCTGCCTGGGGTTCACAGGTTCGGATCCCAGGCGCAGACTGACGCACCGCTTGTCAGGCCATGCTGTGGTGGCATCCCACATAAAGTAGAGGAAGATGGGCACAAATGTTAGCCCAGGGCCAGTCTTCCTCAGCAAAAAAGAGGAGGATTAGCAGCAGATGTTAGCTCAGGGCTAATCCTCCTCACCAAAAAAAAAAAAAGGAAAAAAAATGTCCCCAGGCTTGGGTTCCTCCTCTGGCTGGCCAGAGGAGGCTGGAGCCCTGTGCTCAGGACACAAACATTCGGGGAAGGTGGCTGTCCCAGCAGCAGGGCGAGGCCGACAGCCCACGTCAGGGAGTTGGGGACCTGTCGCCTGTTTTAAAGGGGTTTTTGTGGTGGTCAGGAGGGTATGGGCTTCACTTTCAGCTTCTATTTGGTGAATTGTGATCCCCTCTGTTACCCCCAAGCCTTCAATAAAGTTGTGTTAAACATTAAAAAAAAAATTTTTAATCCTCCATCAAGTCCAAAAAGTAGGTATATTTTCAGGCCACATTATAATAAAACTATAAATGAATAACAAGAGTCAATAGAAAACCCTGTCTCCTCAGAATTAAAAGCATTCTCCTAAGTAATGATCAGATCAAGGAAGAAATAAAAATAAGAAAAAATGATTATTGAGAAATAACGAAAATCAGAACACTATATATTAAGATATCAGTACATTTAAAACTGTAGTTAGAGTGAAATTAGTAACTTAAATCCTTTAATTACTTTTTTAAAATCACCAAAAAATTAAATATTCAAATCAAGATCTGAGGAGGAACTCTTAAGGAAAGCAAAAGTTATAAAACAATGAAAATGACAGCAGAACTGGAAGGGAAACAGCTCTCTGGAAAGTCAATAAGATAGCAAAACTGGAAAGCTACATTAAAGAAACAGAAAACATCAAGGAATAAAGTTGAAAATGAGAAAAGTGATATAAGAATGACTAGGAAGGGGCCGGCCCCGTGGCACAAGCGGTTAAGTGCGTGAGCTCTGCTGCGGCGGCCCGGGGTTCGCTGGTTCAGATCCCAGGCGCGCACTGACGCACCGCTTGTCAAGCCATGCTGTGGCAGCGTCCCATATAAAGCAGAGGAAGATGGGCATGGATGTTAGTCCAGGGCCAGTCTTCCTCAGCAAAAAAAAAAGAGGAGGAAGAGGAGGATTGCCAGATGTTAGCTCAGGGCCGATCTTCCTCACACACACAAAAGAATGACTAGAAAGAACACAGTTACATTATAAAAGACTATTATATACAACCATATATTAATTGAAAATCTCAACGAAAGGAGAACTCTTCTGGGAAGTTATTTTTAAATGACTCAATAAGAAGTAGAAAATCTAAACGGACCAATAAGCAAGAAGAAAAATCCAGAAGTTAGAAAACAACTATGCTGCAAAGGACTGCAGGCCTGGGTGAGTTCTTTCAAGTTCCTGGACAATTCATAATCCCTATGTGTTGGGCCGGCCCCATGGCTTAGCAGTTAAGTGCATGTGCTCCGCTGCTGGCGGCCCGGGTTCGGATCCCGGGCGCGCACCGACGCACTGCTTCTCTGGCCATGCTGAGGCCGTGTCCCACATACAGCAACTAGAAGGATGTGCAGCTATGACATACAACTATCTACTGGGGCTTTGGGGGAAGAAAATAAATAAATAAAATCATAATCCCTATGTGACGTAAGTGAGGGTAGAACCCGGAAACCTGAGAAGATGCTTGATTAAGGTCATGAATCTGTCACAGCTCTGATATCAGATCCTTGCGATGTAACCACAGCCAGAAAACCGCAGCCCAGACTCAGCAGGAGCAGAGCCCAGAAAGCCTGGGCGAAGCCACCTCCAGAGCAGCCACAGCCCGAGCCGGAGCCACAGGGTCTCTCAGTGGAGGTGCAACAAGACCCCGAAGACCAGCCACGGAAGCAGCCGAGGTCACCTCCACCAATGCCGAAACAAGGTCACCAAAATTTAACAAAATGGGCCATTTCTCAATTTTTTTCTTCTTTAAAAGTAAGGCCTGGGCCGGCCCTGTGGCTTAGCAGTTAAATGCGCGCGCTCCGCTACTGGTGGCCCAGGTTCGGATCCCGGGCGCGCACCGACGCACAGCTTCTCCGGCCATGCCGAGGCCGCGTCCCACATACAGCAACTAGAAGGATGTGCAGCTATGACATACAACTATCTACTGGGGCTTTAGGGAAAAAAGGGGGGAGGATTGGCAATAGATGTTAGCTCAGAGCCCGTCTTCCTCAGCAAAAAGAGGAGGATTAGCACGGATGTTAGCTCAGGGCTGATCTTCCTCACAAAAAAAAAAAAAATGTAAGGCCTGGAAGGACTCTTCCTCAGCACCCAGCCTGCATGTCCCCCACCCCTGGGCAGGCAGGGCCATCACTGCCCACTGCCTACCAAGAAGACAGGGGGCAGGTGCCGAAGCCAGGGGTCTGAGAATTCTCAGGAATAAAGACGAGAGTAACAAGTACATGCACTGTCGATCTCATTTAAAACGCTCACTTGTAAACGATGCACTCGCAGACAGAAAGCATGGGAGAATACAAACGGCTTATGAAGTGGCCAGATATAGGACAGAGGATGGATATTTACAAATCAACAGCTTTCGAAACACATCAACACTGAGGGCTCTAAAATACAATGGAAAAGAAATCTCATCTGTAACTGGAACAAATAACATAAAGTGCTCCAGGAATAAACTTATTAATAAATGTGAAAGATTTATATGTGGGATAGCTAAAGAGACTTGAAGAAACTGGGAGCAAAAATAGGTTAATATAGCTGCAATGGATGTAATCATCCCCTGGGTGTAGGGAAGAATAAACAGATAAAAACACCATAGAAAAATGTAAGAAAAAGAAATAAGGCGAAAAAAAATTACAGCTGCTTTCTGAGTCAGAGATTCTACTTTTAGGAAACACATGCTAAGGAAATAACCCTAAACATAAAATTCTTTTTGCTGTGTTATTTACCTCACGGTAAGAAAGAACTGTGATTTCAAACATGAGGTGAAGAGTTCATTAAATTGTAGTTCATCTGATTTTTGGAGTATCACACAACCATTTAAAAACATATTTATAACAACACAGAAACAACCGTATCGTGATGTTCAAGGGAAAGAGGCAGAGAGTCGTCCATAGAGAAGACCAAACTCTGCTTACAACCATCGGATCCTCCACCCAGAACAACAAGGAGCCCCCAGCACTGAGGGTCCTGGTCTGTGATGCGCCCGGCGATGTGTGGGGACCAGACCATCTGCAGGGAAGTGGCAGAGAGGCCCCAGAAGGGACAGGGCCAGGAGGGCAGAAGGAGAGCCTGCTGCTCCCTCTGGTCCCTTTGAAAATACATCACATGCTCGAAAACCCAAGGGAAGGCAGCAGCCCCAGAAGACCCTGGCAGGAGGCCTCGCTCATCCTTCCGCAGGAACAGACACGGCTGTTTCCTGATGCTGGATGTTGGGAAGGTGCCAGGAGGCACCCTGCTCCACTGTTGGCAGAGTGTAGAGGCCACAGTTTTTTACGGGGCATTTGGGGTTTGGAGAACATTTACCAGTGACTGTGTAAACATTTCAACTGCACACAGCCATCGACCCAAGGATTTCCCGGCAGTCACCCTGCAGAGGTCACAGAGGCACATGTGAGGCCGTCTGTGGTCACAGAGAGAGGGAAGGGCGCTGCCTGTCGTGAGGTCCAGGCTGAAGGAGTGGTGGGGAACCCACATGGCACAGTCTGCTCTCTGCGGTAAAGCGTGTTCCGTGATCTACAGAAGAGGACCGATGGGCAACAATGGTGAGGTGGACGGTCAGGGCAGCATCAAAGTGGAGAAGACCTGCATCCCGCTTAGGTAAACCAAACAGATCCCTAGATACACACATGAACAGCCGGCCACCAGAAATTTCAGAGAGAAACCCAAGAAGATGTTGACCGTGGCTGCCTTTGGGGGTGGGGCCGGGAGCTCGGCTCAGCCTTAAATGTTATGTACTCCTGGGGCATTTGTAAGTTTACCGTGAGCACATGCTGTTGAATAAGAAAAACAGTTTTTAAAGTACATCCTGTCTTGAAGGCAGACGCTAAGGGACGGTGGGCAACGTGAGCCGTTGCTGTGCGGTGGCTCCCGTTTACAGACTTCTGCAGCTTGTGCAAGAACTCCTGCTGGTTCTCCAAACTCCAGTCCCAAGGCCAAGGCTTCACCCTCTGCAGGAGGCTGAGGGTTGGGGCCAGGCCTGAACGCAGCATCCCAGAGCCCCAGGGAAGGGGGGTGGCCCTGAGGATGGCTGGGGCCCATGCTGACCTCGGCCCACACCCTGCAGCTGGGACTCCGAGGCCTCTTGGTGGAAGGCTTGGTGGCCTTGGGCTGCAGCTCCTCCTAAGACCGATGTCCGGCAAGATCTGGGCTTGCCCACAGGCAGGGGGTGCAGACCACAATCCGGGAGACTCAGCCCCAAGTCAGACTCTGACAAGGGTCCCTCTAGGAACAGCCCAGCCTGAGCAAGGTCCACCTTTCAGACCAGGCGCAGCAGCGAGTTGAGGGAGGGCCCCGCCCTGACTCAATTCTTGGGATGAAGGACAACAAAGGAGAATAAGGCACGTGACTCTTGGCAGCTGTCACAGTGCCGTTGTCACATGCTACTTGGGGACAAGTGCCTCTTGCAGCCACTGCACAACATCCCCAGTGGCCTGAGAAGGCAGCACTGACCCTTTGCAGTATCTCACACCTGGGACACAGCACCGTGAGGCCAGGCCCTCCTCAGCAAGCATCCAGTGACAAGCGTGTGCCTTGGCCGCTGGTGGGAGCTCAGGACATGGGGCCTCCAGCTGCCCGGGTCCTGGGGACTCAGGTTTCCCTGGCTGCCCCTTCTGGCATGTCACTCTCCTCTTCCTGCCATCCCCCCATGAGGACCCCCTGCTTGTCCGAGCTCCCTCTTCAAGGTCCCCCTTGAGGTTGAAGGTGTCGAGATGACAGGAAGGACCCTGGCACCCTGGGGGCACGCTCGCTCACAGGTTTGTGCCCATGAGCTCCATGCAGGGGCTAGAGAGTGACAGCCACCTCCCACGTGTGCCTTCCACACTGGCCGTGCTTGCTCAGAGGCGGTGGCAGGCGTTCACATGGACTCTGGGAAGTGACCACACCCAACGCAGGTCCCAGCAGCCAGTCTCTGGAGCATCCCAGGCATCCCACTGGTCAATCGGCAGCAGCTTTGGAAAGAGCCTCAACAACGGAAAAACATTTCACAGCCCGGTCGAGGGGCTCCTCCTTCCAGATGGCAGGTCCGCAGGGCATTGGCGAGGGCTTCCACTCCACCACCGCGATCACACAGGCTGCCGTGTTTAGGGGCCACTGAGCTCGCTTGGTCACAGGGCTCCTCGGGCAGCACCGGAGCAGAGGTTCCATCCACTGTCCACATCCATACCACTCAAAGACCAAGGTCATGCCCATCAACTGTGCCCTAAGTCATACTTTCCAGGTATGAAAAGAGAACATTTTCACGAGAATGTTTAAAACAGAACCAACTACTTTGTAGAAAGTAGTCAAAGCCTATTTTTTCTGTAAAAAGTCATAGAATGTTGGAGTGGATACTACATGGTGAGCTGGATCACGGCTCCACGCTCACTTCTTCCCAAGGCAGGGGCCTCGGCAGGGCCGCCCACCGTGGGTGGCTGCTTGACCTACTTTGGTTGATGGCGTGTGAGCAGGTGAGACACAGCAGAGGCTCAAAGCTAGTGCCGTTGGCACATCTGCTCCCACCGGGAGACAAGCTTGCCCAGGCCAGCCCGCTGATCCCAGGAGAAGAGAGACGCGTGCAGCAGAGCAAGCTGCCCAGCCGGCCCGGCCTAGCTGGGCTGACCTGGGTGGACCTGGAGACCTGGGAGATTACGTGCGTCCTGTTTTAACCACGGTGGCAGCACCTCTGTGGCTGTCACTGATGGACACACCCACCAGCTCAAGTGGCTGACCACCCCCCCACCCCATTTTCGAGGCGTGGACTTCGAGGCCCAGAGAGAAGGGCCTTCCCTGAGGGCGCAGAGCAGAATGGGCACCTCGCTCTCGGTCTACTCAGACCCAAGGGAACGGAAGGGTGCCCGGGACCCCTGGTCTGCCAGCAGGGCCCTGCCACCCTGGCCTGCAGCCTCACCTGCACTGGTGGGGGAACAGTCCTCAGGGTAGGCGGGCGCCTTGGGGAGGAGGAGGTCGCGGCTCCCGCGGCTGCAGCTCTCCTGGCAGCTCTCGCTGAGCAGGCGCCGCAGCATCTGGTTCTCCTTCATGAGGCGCACCTGCTTCTTCAGGTCTGCGTTCTCGCTCATCAGCCTGTTCATCAGCTGGCTCCCCTCAGCCATGGCCACGTCCTCGGTGCTCACGTGTGGGCCCGTGGCCCCATGGAGGTGGAAATCCAGAGCCACGGAGGCTCCAGGAACAGCCCAAGAGCCCGGAGTTCCACGGCCTCCCGGCCTTCCGCGGCCTTGTGATGTCGCCCTTAAAGAGGCGGCGCCCTGGCCCCGCGACCCCCAGCTTCCCCACCCCACAGACGCCTCTGGGCCGCACCCACCAGGCAGATGCAGAGAAGGCGGAGAAGATGCCAAGTGTGGGTGCCGAGGGGAAGACAAGGAGGGGATGTGAGGAGTGCGGACAGTACAAATTCTAGATGGGTGCCTGAGACGCTCACGTGGAGGGCTGCCCAGCAGAGGGAACGGCACATGACAAGGCCCAAGACAGGAATGTTCCAGCACGTTCTAGGAACAGCCAGAACACTGGGCTGAAGGAGGTGTCGGCCACGCTGTGTGGAGTTGCAGGCTTAGTGGGGACTCTGCCTTTACTCTGAGCAACTCGTGGAGCTGCCCCCCGGGGTGCCATCGGCCCTCCCGCCACGAGGGAGGCTTCCCAACTCCATGGGGCCAGCAGGGCTCTCAGAGGCTGGCAGGTTGGGTCCCCCAGAACCCGGGCAGGTGTCTGGGGTGAAGACATTTATCAGGGCACGCCCCTGGCACACACACTTGAGGAAGGAGGGAGCCGTGGGGGCAGAGGGAGACAAGCTCAGGAGGGCTCCGCAGGGACTGGCAGTTAGCCGCCTGCTGAGCGCACTCCCCTCATGAAAAGGGTCCCAGCATTTCAGCGCCCCCAAACGGACTGCGAGCGCTGAGTATCTGGGACACTGACCATGCCTGGACCCAACCAAAGACCCCCTGGACCAGGGCACGAGGGCCGTCAGGACCAATCACCCACAGACCTGTGGCCCCCAGAGTCCCACCCGAGTGCGGATTTCAGTCCTCGGTCAGTGTGACCACCATGCACCCCACCCCAACTCCCCGCTCTTCCAACTGACCACTCAGCAAGGAAAACAAACTCAGTGCTGTTTCCTGGCTCTGACGGTCTTGGTTTTGCTTTTTGGCAGCCGTGAAGCAAGAGATGGGTCATCTCCTGATCCTTGTGAGAAGGGACGTAGTCCAAAACTGGAACCAGCATGTCCTTAATCCCTTTCAGCCCCAATGCCTGGGGCTACCCTACTCAGCAGCAAGGGGACCGGGGTGCAGGCGGTGGGTAGAGGTGGCTCCAGACAGAACAAAGCCTTCGCTTCCCCCAGACTGCCCAGACAGTGTAATGTCACTTCTAGGAGTCAGCTCTGACCCCGGCTCTGTGGAGAAAGAGGATTTGTAAATCCCAAACAGACCAGCGTCTGGACCCGCAGGCTCTCACATCAGACAAGGACAGCAGGAACGTGGGCAGTGCCCACTGAGGAAGGGTGTGCAGGGGCTTCCAGGACCGAGGCCAAATGCCCCCACCCCCAGACTCCTGAGGACAAGGCCAGTGGGCATGTGAGTGGCTCCCCTCCACTGGCTCCTCCCATCGCATTTAAAATGCCATTTCTTTCCCACCCCAAGAAAACCCTCTCAACATCATATCCCCTCCAGCCAATGGCCTATCAGCATTCTGCCAGTTTTCTGATCATGATGCACTGTCCTTCTAATACATCACCAGATTCAACTCGCTAATATTTTTAAGTTTTTTCTGTGTTCATGAGGGAAACTGATCTGCATCTCCTTCTCTTGTAATGTCGTGGTCTGGTTTTGCTATCAAGGTCATATTGACATTATAATATGAGTTGCAAAGTGTTCCCTCCTCTATTTTCTGGGTGTGTTTGTTAGATTGTCATTTCTTTCTTAAAATGTTTGATAAAATTCACCAGTGAAGCCATCTGGGCCTAGTTTTCTCCTGGGTAGGGTTTTTAATTTCTAATTCAGTTTCTTGGATAGATATCAGGCTATTTAAATTTTCCATTTCTTCTTGTATCCATCTAGATAACAACTGTGTCTTTCAAGGAATTTGTCCATGTCATCTCAGTTGTGCAATACTGGCATTCAGTAGTTCATGACATTTCCTTTTTAGCCCCTCTGCCTCTGAGGACAAATAGATCCAGCCAAGGCAGAAAACCAAAATGTGAAAGTGGAGAAACAGCATTAGGTTTTTGCAGCAGGATTGTAAAGCAAGCAGGGCAAGTGGGAGCAGTGTGATCTAGAGCAAGACAGTAGGCTCAGCAGGGCAGGCTGGACCATGTCTGCAGGATCTGTAGTGATGTATCCTTTTTTTATTCCTGATGGAATAAAAAAGGTTGTTTTCTCTTATCTGATCAGACTAGAGGCTGGTTAACTTTCTCAAAGCATCACCTTTTGGATTCACTGATCTTCTCTATTATTTTCTATAACATTGACATCTACTCTTGTATCTAGTATTTCCTTCCTTCTACAGACTCTGATTTTAAGATGCTTAAGGGGGACACTTAGATCACTGATTTTAACCTAATTTACAGCATTCAAATATAAGCCTGCAAACATTTCTCTAAGCACTGCTTTAGTACAATCCACAAATCTTGATATGCCATGTTTTTAGTTTCACTCAGCTTGAAATGTTTTCTAACTTCCCTTGTGCTTCCACTTTTGAACATAGATTATTTAGAAGTGCTTTGTTTCATTTCCAAACATTTGGGATTTTCTAAATCTCTTTTTGTTACTGATTTCTAATTTAATTCCATTGTGGTCAGAGAATACACTCTGCATGGTTTCAACCCTTTTGAATTTCTTGAGACTCATCTCATGAGCCAGCATGTGGTCTACCTTAGTGAATGGTCCACGAGCCCTTGGGAAAAATGTTAGGTGAAGTGTTCTATAAAAGCCAGTTACCTCGAGTTGGTTGAAGAGTTTGTGTCTACAGTTGCTGAGAAAAGTGTTGAAATCTCCCACTTGATTGTGCATTTGTCTAATTCTCTCTTCAGATCCAACCAGTTTTTGCTTCATGTATTTTGAAGCTCTGTTATTAGGTGCATGTACATTTAGGATTGCTGTTTTCTTGATGAACTGACACTCTTGTCGTTACTAAGTCCCTTTATTTCTGGTACTATTCCTTTTCCTGAAATCCACCTTGATGTTAATACAGCACTTTTGCTTTCCTATTAGTGTTTTTGTTATACATTTTTCTAAACTTTTACTTTTATCCTCTCTATATCTTTATACTTAAAATTTCTTAGGGGCCAGCCCCGTGGTGCAAGTGGTTAAGTGTGCACGCTCCACTGCAGCAGCCCAGGGTTCACCGGTTCGGATCCCGGGTGTGCACCGACGCACCACTTGTCAAACCATGCTGTGGCGGCATCCCACATAAAGTGGAGGAAGATGGGCATGGATGTTAGCCAAGGGCCAGTCTTCCTCAGCAAAAAAAAAAAAGAGAGAGAGAGAAGGATTGGGAGATGTTAGCTCAGGGCCAATCTTCCTTACAAAAAAAAAAATTTTTCTTATGGACAACATAGATGGCTCATACTTTTTCATCCAATGTGACAATCTCTGCCTTTTAACTGGAGTGCTTAGCCTTTTACAGTTAATAAGATTATTTAAATGGTTGATGTATTAGTCTTCTAGGGCTGCCATAACAAAACAGCAAAGACTGGGTAGCTTAAACAACAGAAATTTAATTTCTCACAGTTCTGGAATCTAGAAGTCCAAGATCCAAGTGTTGGCAGGGTTGCTTTCTCCTGAGGCTCTCTCCTTGGCTTACAGACGGCTGCCTTTACCCTGGGTCCTCACATGGCCTTTTCTGTGTGTGTGTGCACTCCCGATGTGTCTCTCTCCTCATAAGGACACCAGTCCTATCTGATTAGAGCCCCATCCTCATGAACTCATTTAATCTTAATTATCTTATTAAAGGCCCTATATCCAGATGCAGTCACATATGAACGTGGGGAACAAATTGCAGACCATAAGTAAGAGTTGGGTTTTAGTCTATTCTCTTATTTGTTTTCCATGTGTCCCATCTGCTCTTTGTTATTTTCCTGCCTTCTTTTGGATTATCGTACCTCCTGTATTAGTTTACTAGATATACTTCTTTTTTAATTCAGTGGTTTACTCTAGGGTTTACAATGGGTTCATTTATCACAGTCTACCTCTAGATAACATCCCACTTCATATATGAGGCAAGAACCTCACAGCAGTGAACCTCCATCCTCCAACATCCTTTCTGTTATTGTTGTCATAGCTTTTACTTCTCCTTATGTTAAAACACCATTACTATTCTTCCTTTTAAAAGTTATATTTTGAAGAAATTCCTTTAAATGAAGAATGAAAAGCCTTGAACATTTACCACATACTTACCGTTTCTGGTGCTCTTCATTCTTCGGTGAAGACCGGGGTTTCCATCTGGTATCACTTTCCTTCAATCTAAACAACTTAACATTTCTTGTAGGGCAAGGCTGCTGGAGAATTCCCCCAGCTTCAGTCTGTCTGGAAGAGGTCCACTTTGCCTTCATTTTTGTTTTCTGTGAATATGAAATTTTAAGTTGACCAGCTTTTCCTTTCAACCCTTTAAGATGCCCTTCCACTGTCTTATGGCTTGCGTTGCTCCTGAGGAGTCAGCATCATCCTTATCTTTGTTCGCCCGTTTGTAACGTGTCTGGTTTTCTGCCTGTTTTTAAGACTCTTATTGATCGTAGGTTTTCATCGGTTTGATTATGATGTGCTTTGGAGTGGGTTCTGCTTCTGGTTTTTTGGTCTGTGTGATTATTCTGCCTCTGTCTGCTGGGCCTCACAGATCTGTGGGCCCACACATTTCACATTTGGAACATTTCAACCCTGATTACGTGTTTCCGCCTCCGTCCTTCCCTTTTCTGGGGCTCCAATTATACGTGCGTTAGACCAGCCAGTAGGATCCAACAGGCCACTGAGGCTCTGTCCTTAAATCTCCTGGCGACCCACAGGCCATTTCAATACTCACCTATTCCTGGATGGACCAAGGGCAGGCCCTGCTCCTCCATCTTCCGGAGAACCACAGCGGCATCAAGAACACGGGGCCTCAGGCTCACTGCATCTCACACCCATAAAAGGCCTGGCTGTGGGGTAGCTGTCTGAGGCTGCCTAAAGCCACGTAAACTAGCTGTTCCCCACTTGTCTCGAGCTTGGGTCTCAGACACCCCCTGGGGCATCACTGTCCCCCAAGGAAGGCTGGAAATCATCTGCTATCAACAATAGTCATCATAAACTAACAGTTATTTTCACTAAAGAAAATAAGTAACTCTGAAGTTATCCATGTCACCATCATCCTCTTGAGTGTGTAAAGCGGGTCTTCAAGAAATTCCAAGTGAAAATGCCAGGCATGAAGGTCACACGTCCTTGAGAGGAGCCCAAGGTCAAGAACTGCAGCCCCAGCGCTCCCAGTAAATTTACCCAGCTCTCCAGAACCACATCCTCAGCTACCTGCGAGGGTTGTTCTCGTGGATTCTGCTGTGACCAGACACCCTGTGGAGAGGTGCTGTGAGCAACAGCCCAGACGCCCCCTTTCTTATGAGACCTAGCCCCACAATCAGTGAGACACGCATCTCCGAAGCTGCAGGGGTTTTTGTCTTACTCTGAGTGTTCCCCTCCAGCTGACTCCCAGAAAGCTGAGCACTAAATGTGGAGCCAGCAACAGCAAATTGATCGGACCCCCAGCATGTGTCTCATGTGCTGACATCCCTCCCCATCCCATCTGACTCTCCAGCCCTTATTTCCCTTTGCCTTGCGTTTCTAAATTTAATTCTTTTTTTTTTTTGTGAGGAAGATTAGCCCTGAGCTAACATCCGTGCCAATCCTCCTCTTTTTACTGAGGAAGATTGGCCCTGAGCTAACATCCATGCCAATCTTCCTCTTTTTGCTGAGGAAGATTGGACCTGAGCTAACATCCGTGCTAATCCTCCTCTTTTTGCTGAGGAAGACGGGGTCTGAGCTAACATCTATTGCCAATCCTCCTCCTTTTTTTCCCCAAAGCCCCAGTAGATAGTTGTATGTCATAGTTGCACATCTTTCTAGTTGCTGTATGTGGGACGCAGCCTCAGCATGGCCAGAGAAGCGGTGCGTTGGTGCACGCCTGGAATCCAAACCCAGGCCGCCAGTAGCGGAGCAGGTGCACTTAACCGCTAAGCCACGGAGCCAGCCACTAATTCCTTCTTGAGACAAAGTGAATTACAAATAAAAACTTACATTGCAGATGGAGGTAAAAATGAATCAAGCTGACCAATTAGCCTATAATTATTATAATAGTTGCTGAGAGATGAGAGAAAGGAAGCAACAGTAGGCGGCTTTAATTTTAAAACATTTTTAATGCCTAAATAAAATTTAAACCTATTTAGCAATATTGATTATGTTCAGTAAGGAAAAGTATTTTCTTAGAGATAAGTTTCCACTGTGAGTTAAGCATTTCCAGTTAGAGAATTCCTCAAAGGGTCAGGTCTGAAGTTCACATCATGGTGAATACAGAAAACCTAATACAGCTCCAGAGAAAATTTCTCATAATATTCAAAATCTGTTCGCAATAAGCAGAAGTAAAATAATTTCAATTTTCACCCAGGATAGGGAACGTGATTTTTAACCAGGTTGAGGCAAATATTTTCCCCTGAAATAACTAGAGATGCATCCTGCTTATCTTCAAGTAGCTACTCTAGTTCCCTGAAACTGAGGAGGTGAGGTCCAGCGTCCAACATGGTGCCCAAGTGACAGTCCCAGAAAACCCCAGATCCAAGACTGATCCCAGGATGAGACAACACAGGTGGGCCACGATTTTGCCTAACGGAATCAACCATCTGTTTACTAGGTAGCTGGTCAAATATGTGACTTCTAATGTCATTTGCAGTATAAAAGCAAATTTTCATTTCTTTTCTGGAAAATTTACGTTTTGTCCAGTGATCTGGTCATGCCTGGAGGCCTTCCAGGGGAAGTGGCCATTGCAAGGAGCAGACGTGGTAAATCACCATCTGTGCTGCTGCTGCCCCAGCTGGGGGAGCACGTGGCCAAGAGAAGTGTGAGAGCAAACCGGCAGACTTCAAAGGGATCCCAACACGGTTCCTTTAGCCAAAATAAGCCCAGTTTAAAAACGTCTGGGGAAAAGTGCTGATGTTCAACAGGTACCCACTGAACACCCGCTACATGCCACAGAGTGTGGCAGTCAGCGGAGCTGGGGGCCTGCCTGTGTGTACACGTGACCCGGCAATGCAGGGCTCAGAGCGGACGGCAGCACTACCCTGGGACAGGAGGTCAGTGGAGGAACAGCTCAGGCAAAGGCCCCGAAGCAGGCAAGCCCCAGGCAGAGTCAGGGACAGCACCCAGGAGGCCCCATGGTGCAAAGCCTCAGTGTGGGCCCTGAAGGATCTGGGCAGGGAATGACGGAGCAGAAGGGCATCAAGGCGTCCCTCTGGCTGTCTGAGGGAGGACGGTCAGCCAGGGGCTGCTGCCAGTCCAGGAGGTGACAAAGAACAGCCAACGGAGGGGGCTCCAGGGTGGGTGAGAAGCAGGGTGGGGCTCCAGGAGCAAGGCCAGGCCTGGCTTTTCTTCTCATCAAAGCTCCTGGTGACTCCTCACAGCCACACTCCCAGGGGAGCCCTGAGCATGTGAGCCACTCGTCCTTGTGGGTCAAAGGCAAATACAGAACCTGGATTTTCCCTCCTGAGCCCAAAGATCGTGCACATCAAGCCAGACAATTTTAGAAGCCAGAGGGGAATTCAGAGGTTTACCACCCAAGAGGTATCACCCCAGAAATCTGGCCCTCACTTGAGCTGATATCACAGACTAGGGCATGAGGGTCAGCGCAGCTGTGAGCGTGCCCTGGGGCGTCACACCTGCCTAGCTGGCTGCAGTGGCCAGTGAGTGACAGGCACACAGCAGTGCCCCACAGTGGTAACCACCGAACTGCTAAGGACCCCTCATCCTTTGTTATGCTTGGCCTCCCACATGCATTTCTGTCATGACAAGATGACTATAAACTCAGGAGGTAGGGATGCTGGCGCCCCACAACTGGCTGAACTGTGAGGCAGCGTGGGCAAGCTCGAGCTCTGGGGCAGGGTTGGAGTGCCATGTCTAGCTCCCCTCTGTGCAGACACAGGACAGTGAGCAAGTCTGGTCCCCGTTCCTTGCCGAGCCCTGGGTGGCCAGGTGAACAGGGAAGCCCAGCCTCTCCCCACCAGGCTGTTCAGGGAAGCTGTCATGTCGCCCAGCCCAACAGACAGAAAACACAGGAAGAGCTGGCCTGGGGGCAAGCTCAGCCCAGAACCAGCACTAGGCAGGACGCAGACGAGGCCCAACTGCTCCTCTCCCCAGAACTCAGTTACTGGTCAAGAAAGCCTTGCCAGCCCAGCGCCCACGGTGAGGACACACACACCTTCTCCAGTGTCTCTTCATCTTCTTCCTTTCCTCACCTGAGCCCAACGAGCTAGCCTCAGAATTAACCCTAAGCTGAAAATCAAGTCTAAAGCCACCAACCCCACCCCTGTCGCAGGCTGGGTCCGAGGCCTCACTCCTGTGAAAGTGGACAGTGAGGGGCACTGGACTGCTGGGTAGGGCAATGGGGAGCTCCTGTGGCCCAGCCGAGACGCCTGACCTTGCCTGGAACTTGCATGACGGCTGCCGCTCAGCAGCCCCACTGGACGCCTGTGCCTGCCACCGCCCCCAGCCAGGTGCTCACAGGTGTGCTCTCAAGGGTGGCCGGCGAGGCCACTCTCAGGGTACAGGCGAGAGAAGCGGCCAAGGACCCAGATGGGGAAGACGTTCCTGTAGCTCGTGTAGTGGATGGCACAGGACTTGTTGAAGACCCCGTTCATGTTGTCCTGAAAGCACACAGGGAAATAAACACAAAGGCTCCACCAGGCGGCTGAGGGGCTCCCTGAACCAAGACCCTGGCTGGAGGGCTGGCCGGCTAGTGAGACCTCAGGGCGGGAGAGCCTCAGCAGGCGGTCCTCCTGCCCCGCCTCAGTCACAGCGCCACCATCCCAGCCCTCAGACGTGGGCCCGCAGCAAACCCTCCAGCCTGGGTCCCCAGCCCCTCAGAGCCACATCAACCCCAGTTTTGTCCAAGGGGAGAGGGTCAGCCTCACGTGACCCTGTGCCCTCATGCCCCCATGGATAGGCGGAGGCCACCTCCCACACTTCTGTCCAGGGAGGGGCCATGAGGCAGAGCTCAAAGGCGTCCTGGCCAGTGGGCTTCTCCCCATCCAGCTCTTCCCCAGCACCACCAGCCTTGCCCCAAGCCAGTGCTTCACGTGCAAACAGCTCAGGACTTGGGGACCTGACCACCCGTCACAGATTTGCTTCCAACACAGGCCACTGGCTGGTGGTGGTTATGAATCTTGAACCCCCAAAGCTAAAACCTTGTCCACGAGCACCCCGTGAGGGACACAGGGGCAGGGTGCAGACGTGAAAACACTTGTGCAAAGGGAGGTCAGTGCTGGGCTTTATGCTCCTCAGACCCCCATGGCATACCTGGGGCCAGTCGCCGTTGGGGAGCTGTTTCCTAAGCAGACTCCTGACCCCTCTCTCCAGGGCTGCTACTCCAGGATGCCTGGGGGAAGAGGGGGCACTGAACACACCCATCACCTCTCTGGGCGAGACCACCTCTGGCTGCAGGCAAATTTGCATTCTCACCCTCACGCAGCCACACAGGAGGACACAGATGGGAAACACTGTGTGATGATGAACGAACCCAAAGTGACACGTGCTGGGAACATGAGCACACCCAGGCCCTCACTGCACATCTTCTTCCCAGACACGCTGAGAGGGGAAAATGTGGCAAGTGCAGGTGAGCAGGCCAAGTGGGCAGCCCCACGAATGTGGCTGGGTGAGGGGCCCCCCCCTGCTGAGAGCTGCCCCAGCGGCCCTGCCACAAGGTTCTGCTCTTCTGCTCCCCCCCAGAAAGAAGAGGCCAAGTCTCGTGTCCACCCAACCCACTGGTCCTCGGGGCCCTCTGAGGGTCACAAAAGCCACGCGTGCTAATCCTCAATCACTCTGGCAAGGGATGAGACACCGGAAGGATCAAGGGTTCAGGACAGAGCAGGACCAGGCTTGGCTGTGGGAGGCAGACTGGGGGCTGGTCCCTGACACCCCTACCCTGGGGGTCCCCCACAGACTCTGCTCCAGCTCACACGGACCTGCCTAGCTTTGAGGGGGTTTTAGGAAGATTCTCCAAACGGCCCCAAACCCAACAGGGCAGCACAGACTGGGACACTGTGCCCTTATGTCTGTGTCTGTCTGTGTGTGCGTGAGCTGGGGACATGCAGCTACAGGGGTGCACTGCAACCTCTGAGGCAGCTGCAGATGCTGCAACACCTCACACCATTTACCACCTCGTCTCCCTGCTGTCACTGTGGTGTCAGCCTCTTCTAAAAGGTGAGCCTCTTGGCAGCACCTGCTTGTTGAGACAGACCTCCCACCCCGCCCCAGGAACCTGTGGGTGCAGCCCTGCAGGCCTCGCCTCCTCCCACTCCTGCACTCAGAGCTCAGCTGCCCGCACCCCACCAGAGCGCCAGGCTCAGTGTCCTGTCTTCACCCGACCCCACGGCTCAGGAACTGTCTCATCGCCCCCACCTGACAGCCATCAGCCCCATTAGGGCCCAGCACGTGTTGTGGATCTGGGACTGGGCACTCTGCACATAACACCGCTGCTCACAGGATTCGAAGTCCTCCCCCCAGCCTCCGTCCTCCATCTGCTGGGACAGCAGGAAGTCGCAGGCCCGGGAGATCTCCACACAGGCAGCCCTGCAGAGACCAGGGAGACAGGAGATGCTATCACACTGGGGAGCGTCCTGGGCCCCCTGGATTCTCACCCTGGCCAGGCCTCCTTGGGGTCAAGGGGAGGGGTGCGTGGCGGGGAGCCTGTACTCCAGGCCCTCCCCACCATGTGACATGAAGGCAACAGAGACACCGGCCTCCCAGGGTGGTTGGGAAGATAAAGGAAAGATAAAGTTGTAGCTGCAGCCGGCCTCACTGAGGTGACCACCCCCCTAAACATCCAGCCAGCAATGCTAGAGCCTGGTGAGGTGGCTGGAGACGGCTCAGACCTGAGGCCTCCTCCCTTCTCTCAGCACAAGTCAGGAAGCTTCGGACAGCAGCAAGGCACCTCCTCAAGCCAAGCATCTTTAATACACTTGGGTGCTAACGGCTCACGAGCCGGGAAAAATCTTCCTTTCAACCTGGTGACTCATACGTTTTCTGGAATACTGATCTTAGCTACTGTTTAAAAACACCCCCAAATCAAACATCAAAGAAAGAAACACCCCCAGTAGAGTGTCATACTGGGAAAACCCCCACCCCACCAGGGGGCAAATGCCTGCACTCACCCATCTCGATAGGTCTGCCCCATGCAGGCAAAAGCTTCCAGCCCAAACCACGTGCCGTAGGTGAAGCACACCCCCCAGGAGCTGGAGGGAGACAGGAGGAAACAGAGCCTCAGCCATCCAGTTCTCGTCAGGACGGGCATGTACAACGCTGGGCTTGCGGGAGCACCCTCCAGCACTGGGGCGTGCTGTGGTTATGTTCAAGAAACACATCCACACGGCCTCAGCAAGCCTCACCAACTCTAGTGTCTTAGCTTTAAGGCCACATAAGACAGACCTGCCCAACCTGGCCCTCAGGGGACAGCTCCATTTGCTGGAACCACCATGCAGATAAGAACTGACCCAAACCCAGAGCAAGGAGGTGAACGAGCACAGATCCAATAATAAGGCATCGGGCACGCAGCCCTCGGCCAGACTACTTTTAGCAACATGCTGGGCAATGACCACAGGGTGAAGGCCAGCCATTCAACGAGGAACAAGCCCACCAACTCACTTCCAGAGAGTCCTGGTGTAGCAGAAGCACACAACTGAACATCACACGAGCAGAGAAACCTCCCGATCCCAACGTGTCTGCACCCACAAGAGCTCACTCACCCTTCCCAGGAGCCGTCAGCCCTCTGCTGCTGCCGACAGAACTCCAGGCCCTGCTCGAGGGTCTCCCTGCAACACGAGAGGATGGCCCCCTGAATATTCCGGCAAAACAGCCATTTACCTGTCCCAATTTTACCCATTCTGCTGTCTCACAAGAATGAGCATGGTCTCCCTTACAAAAATACGTAAAAATCAAAAGTTCAGAGAGGAGATACAAGGGTCAAAGCAGAAGCAATTACAGGACACAGGAGGGGAAAAGCACATGGGCAGCTACAGAAACGCAAGAGGAAACATCTCAGGGTGAACCACGTCAGAGGCGGTTACAAACAGGACCAATATCAGTGAACAGTGTCAGTGACACAGACTTGAGTAAATCATGTAAAACGAAATTTAAAAAAGAAATAAAAATTACAGAGAAAATGATAAATTTAGAGGACAAAGAAGATCCATAAGTGTGACTGGTACTTCTGAAGAATCCCTGTTCTCTGAACAAGCTGGAGGGAAGGTACCAACACAGCCTGGAAGGGGACCCCCAGGGCCCCTGCGCCTTCAGGTGCTCACCCGTGTCACTCTCCCCTTGAGTGAGGGCAGCGTCTGTGACTTGTTTCTAACCAACAGATGACCGCAAAGTTGACGGTGGTCACGTCTTCGACTATGTCACGTGAGAAATCTAGTTCCCCTCTTGCTAGCAGACGCCCTGCCTTGAGTCTCTCCCTTGCTGGCTTTCGTGACGCCGCCACAGAGAGAGGCCACACGGGAAGAAACTAAGGGTGGCCTCCAGCCAGCAGCACCGAGACAGGGCCCTGAGGCTGACAATCTGCAAGGAGTGGAAACCTGCCGACAACCACATGGGCTTAGAGCAGACCCTTCCTTAGCTGCTGCGCAGACGAGACCCCCGTCCTGGCCGGCATCTTGACTGCAGCCTGGTGAGATCCTGAAGCAGAGCACTCAGCTAAGCCGTGCCTGGATTCCTGACTCACAGAAACTGTGAGGCCGTCAATGTGTGCTGTTGCAAGCCACCAAGTTTATCGTAATATCATCCCTCAGCAACAGACAACTCATACCAGAGTTGAAAGGACAAGTAAGTAACATCAGCAAGAAAGAAGTGACATGACTATAGGTTCAGTGGAAATTGAAAAGTAAGAGAAAATAAGAAAACTCAGACAAAATGTACCGATTACTAAGAAAATCAACTTTTCAATACTGCCTCAAGGAGAAATAGCCTGAATAGTCCTATAACTACTAAAGATACGAGTCAAAAAATGTAACCTTTGCCAAGAAAAAGAACACCAGGCCCAGGAGTGTTATAAGCGAATTCTACTAAATTATCAAGAATAATCATTCTAATCTTACACAAACTCTTCTAGGGAATAGAGAGAGGAAGGAACACTCCACAGTTCATTCTAGGAACCCAACATAAGCTTTTCAACAAACCAGATAAAAATGACACAGGAAAGTAAAATTTTCAGGCTATTCATTAATGGACACAGATGCAAAATTCTAACTACGTGTTGAGAAACCGAGTATAGTAGAGATATACCAATACCAATACCAAGTTAAGTTTATGCCAGAAACGCAAAGGTGTTTTAACATGAGGAAAATCTACAATAATCATCTATAACATTAACAGATAAACAAGATAAATATATAATCATCTCAACAGAGGTAGGAAAATCATTTGCTAAAATACAACACTCATTCACAATGGAGGGAAAAAACAACTTCAAAAATTAGGAAGAGAAAAGAACTTGGTTAACCTAAAAAGGGTTAACTACCAAAAACCTACAGTAAATATCATTCTTAATGGAGAGATATTAGAAGCATTCCCCTTTAAAATCAGGAAATGCGACAAAGATGCCACCATCACCCCTTCTGCTAAGCAGAATACTGTAGGTCTTAGGGCAGTAAAACAAGAAAACAAACTACAGGCCTCCCTCCCAGGGGTCGAGGGAAGGGGAAGGACGCATGAGCAGGGCACGGAGCATTCCGAGAGCAGTGAACTATTCCATATGTCTTTTTTTTTTAAATTATCTGCTGTACCGGGAGGGAAACTGGAATTCTTTTTTATTTTTTTTAGCTGGGAAAGATTTTCCCTGAGCTAACATCTGTTGCCAATCTTCCTCTTTTTTTCCTCCCCAAAGCCCCAGTACATAGTTGTATCTTCTAGTTGTATGTCCTTCTAGTTCTTCTGTGTGAGCCGCCACCACAACCTGGGTACTAACAAACAAGCAGCGTGGTTCTGCACCCAGAAACCAAACCCAGACTGCCCAAGTGGAGCGTGCCGAACTTTAACTGCTAGGCCATCAGGGCTGGCTCCTATTCTGTGATAGAGGAACAACAGACACATGTCGTCATAGGTCTGTCAAAACCCCCGGGGTGTACAACACAAAGAGTGAACCTAAATGTAAACTACAGTCTTCGGGTGATAGGATTGTATCAATGCTCGCTCATCAATTGTAAAAAAACACACCAAAGTCATCAAGAAGCTAATAATAGGGTAATGGCGTGGGGGAAGGAGTGGGTAAACAGGAACTCTCTTCTCCATTTTTCTGTTAACCTAAAACTGCTCTGTAAGATAAAGTATATTAATTTTTTAAGTTTAGCAAATTGTCTAGCTATAAGATCAATATCAAAATCAATTACAGAGAATTCTGGGACAGTGGCGGAGCAGGATGCACTGGAATCCGTCTCCCCACCTGGACAACCCCACTGGCAGAATCTGTCTGATGTAACTATTTTGGAACTCCAGTCTGTTGAAGGCTTGCAACTTCCAGGCGAAGACTTGGAGGGCAAATTGCAGTCAATTTGGGTCAATTTCAGCTCTTAGCAGAGGAGTAGCTACCCAACCCCCACCCCCACCACGGACAGACAACTGTGCACGTGTTCCTGGAGCAGCCTGCACACAGCTTGCAGGACCTAGGGTGGGCAAAAGGACCCTGTCCTCCAGATACTGGGGCTCTGTACTCTGTCTACCGCTTCTGATCACAGAGGTGCAGAAAAGAGGCCAGAGGCCAAGGCTGCAGCACCTCCTTCCATTATTGCAAGCCCCTCCCCTTCCGGCTGAAGTGACTTCCAGGGAAATTTTAAATCCTGTTAATAGCAGCATTATTCACAATAGCTAAAATGTGGAAGCAACCCAAGTGTCCATCAACAGATGAATGGATAAGCAAAGTGTGGTATATACATACAATGGAATATTATTCAGCCTTAAAAAGGAAGGAAATTCTGCAATATGCTACAACATGGATGAACCTTGAGGACATTATGCTAAGTGAAATAAGCCAGTCACAAAAGGACAAACACTGTATGATTCACTTATATGAGGTGCCTAGAGGAGTCAAATTCAGAGACAGAAAGTAGATGGTGGTTGCCAGGAGCGGGAGGAGGGTAGAATGAGGAGTTAATGTTAACAGGTACAGAGTTTCAGTTTTGAAAAGAGTTATGGGGATGTGTGGTGGTGATGGTTGCACAACCATGTGAGTGTATTTAATACCACTGAACTGTACACTTAAAAATGGTTAAGATGGTAAATTTTATGTTATGCATATTTTAACACAATAAAATAGAAAAAATCAATAGCATAAGAATGCATGAGTCCACACAAATGAATAAGTAAAAGTAAATAAATAAAAAGAGGCAAAGGAAAAGCTCTCAGTAGAACACCATCTAATACATACGGAAGGACAGTTTGCAACCATCATATGAATAATTGATTCAGGCAAGAATCATCATCAGATGCTAAAACCAAGGGGCAGAAGATTGATGAGAAACAGGATATTTACATAATCCAAAACTTCCTCCCCACAAAGAAAAAAACAGTAACTTTCTAGCAGAGAAAACAACTAGTCATCACCTTAACCAAGGGACCACAGTTGACTGTGCTTTCTGACGTGATGCACGAGAGGTCCCCACCACGTCTGTGATTCTCCTGACAAACCACATCATTTCCGAACCTGACTGTAATCATGAAGAAACACCAGAAAAACACACATTGAGGGGCCAGCCCGGTGGCGCAGTGGTTAAGTTCACGTGCTCCGCTTCAGCGGCCCAGGGTTCACAGGTTCAGATCCTGGGCATGGCGCATCAAGCCATGCTGTGGTAGCATCCCATATACAAAATAGAAAAAGATGGGCACAGATGTTAGCTCAGAGCTAATCTTCCTCTTTCTCAGCAAAAAGAACAGGAGTAGCAATGGATATTAGCTCAGGACTAATCTTCCTCACTAAAAAAAAAAAAAAAAGGAAAAAAAAAAACCCACACATTGAGGACATTCTACAAAATAACTTGTCATATGCTTCAAAAATGTCAGTTATCAAACACAAGGAAAGACTAAAGAATTGTTTCAGGTTAAAAAAGACTAACACATGACAATTAAATGCAATGACCCTGGATTAGATCTTGAGGAAAAATTTTGCTATAAAAGACATCATTGGGACAACGAGGACAATTTAAATAAGGTTCGCAGATTAAATAATGGTATTATATCAATGTTAATACTGTGACTCATATTTATATAAGAAAATATCTTTGTTAAGAAATACTAAAGTATTTCGGGATTAAGGTACATCACATTTGCAACTTACTCTCATGTGGTTCAAGAAAAAATATATATGGGAAGGAATATGATGAAGCAAATACAGTAAAATGTTAACAACGGAAGAATCTAGGTAACAGGTGAACAGGAGTGCTTTTAACTACTTTTGTAACTTTCCTGTTAAGTTTGAAATTAAGGGAGAATTTCAAGTCAATGTAGTAAAAATGGAATATTCCATATACACAGTGTTAGAGTAACTGGCTACCTCAAACTATATCTCAAAAACTTTCCTAGATAAATTAAAATTTTTAACATAATAAATTAGACTACTTTATTTAAAAATTAAAAACTTATGTTCAAACTCTCTAAAGAGATAAAAAAGCAAAGTAATTGGGCAAAAATATCTGTAACATAAGATACAGAACTATTACTGTGCTTAAATACGTAAGTCAAAAAGAAAAATCATCCTAGCAACAAAATTGGAAAGGGTATGAATGCAAATTCATATATGAAAGAAACAGAAACGACCTATAAACACCTAGAAAGAATACTGTAGCTCAGCAGTCTCCAAAGAGATGCAAATGAGTTAAGTCCACCAGGAAACTATCATTATTCAGCTTCCAAAGCAGTGATTCTCACATGATAACAACAGTTACTCTGTGCTCATCACGTGCCACACACTCTCCCCATGCTTTTGTGGTCTTGACCCTCCCAGCTCCACAGGGCCATCTAGGCCCCCATTCAGCAGGGGAAGACCCCCAGAGAGGTGAAGTGACTGGGCCAGGATCACACAGCCAGGAAGGGGCAGAATCAGGGGGGTCCACCCAGACAGGCTGAACCCAAGCCCATGTGGCTCTCCGGGAATAATAATGGTCCCGAACAAAGATTTGACAACAGGATACTGGTTAAGGTTAAAACGGGGAAAAGCTGGAAATAACAATGAAAATTTAGAAATAACCAAAAGGCTACTGGGTAAGTAAAATGATGAAATTCCGGCAACCATCACAACTCATGTTGGAGAATGCTAAATGACACGGGAAGTTACCTGCTTGCAGAAACCTCACCAGTTATGTAAAAGACACAGCCCAGGAACAGTCGCAGCAGAGTGATCACACGGTAACAACACACTCTCCTTAGGGGTTACAGGGGATGACTTGCTTTCTTCTTTGCACTTTTCTGTGTTTTCCAAGTCTCCTTCAAAGAGCATGCTTTACTTTTATTATAATTCTTAAAAAGATGATGTATTAAGAAGAAAGGTCAATTTTGTGAGGGTCTCACTAAGGACAAGTTGTGCCCAGAAGAAAGGACTACAGATCAACTACAGCACAGCACGTGGCCGGGGGCCGGCCAGGCCTGGGTAACAAAAGGAAGACTCGACACAGTGCCCCCTTGTGGCTGCACCACCTGCTAGAACAGAAGGAAACCAGCAAAAACACAACTAGAAAATCCTCCAATTCTTTTGGAAATAAAACAACATACTCCTAAATAACTCATGGGCCAGAAAAGAATTCACAATAGAACTGGAAAATAATTTAATTCAATGATATATCAAAACTTATTTATAGATTTAAGTGCACATTTAGAAAGAAAGCCTGAAAATCATTTACGTAGGTATCCACTTAAGTTAGAAAAAGAAATAAAGTAGAAAAAAATCAAGAGCAAAAATAGATGAAACAAAAAATAAACACATTAAAAAAGCAAATAAACGTATACCAGATAGAATCAAAGACTAAAAGATGGTTTCTTCAAAAAGATTACTAAGACTGATGAACTACGAGTGGGGAACAGACTCAAGTCGCCACTGTCAGGAAGGAAAATGAAGACAGACGCACAGCCATTCAAGATGACACTGAACAGCTCTGTGCCAATCAATACAAAATAGAGTTGAAATGGAAAAATCCCCAAAACTGACACAAAAAGAAATAGAAGAAAATCTACAGTCGTGTAACTAGTAAAGAAATTGAACTCCTGATTAAAAATTAAAAACTTTTCTTCAAAGAACACTCCAGGCGCAGCTGGATTCTCCAGTGAATTTTCCTAAGCACTTAAGGCAGAAATAGCATAAATCTCACAAACTCTTCTAGAGAATACAAAAAGAAAATATTTCCAACTCATCTCATGAGTCCAGCATGACCTTCCACAGGAGACCTTGATAAGGACGTTATAAGAAAGGAAAGTTACAAACCGGTTTCTCTTATAACCACAGTTGTAAAAATCCTCAACAAAATACTTCTCAAATTGAATCCAATGATATACAAAAAGGGACATACATCATGACCAAGCTGAGTCTATACCAGGTTTACCACGAAACAAGGGAATCACACCAGGATGAAGGAGAATCTACGAAAACTGCACAGGAGTACACCCCATAACACAGCAAACCCACTCCTAAGTCCACATCCCACAAGAAATCGGTACCTCTGTGCCCCAAAAGACAAGCACATGAGTGTTCACAGCAGGACGATTCACAAGAGCCCACTGAGAGGCCCCCCAGGACACACAACAAGTGTGTAGATACAGTGTGGCAGCTGCATCCACAGACGGGCTGACAGCATCGAGAGTGAAGTGCCTCCACCAGCTGCCTGCTCAGCCTCACGAGCACGAGGTCAGCCTCAAGAGCACGAGGTCGAGCGACGGAGGTCACACCCATGAGGTCCACTGTGGGATTCCACTTGTGCAGGATCCAAGCGGCCCCCGGAGAACCAGGAGGCGAGCTTCTGGTAACATGTGTTTGCCTGACAAGGTCACAGAGGTGTGTCCACGTCATGCCGCCTCATCCAGTGCCACGCACAGGATGTGTGCACTTCTCTGTGCGAGCACCAGACGTCAACAGGAAAGGTTTCTTTAACAACTACTGTTTATCTGGACACAGGTGGGGTTGGGGGTATATGTCTTATTTTTAACATTAAGATGTGAAAAATTATTTGATTTTGTGTTACAACTGTGCTACCTGAGCCCCAGTACACATATTTGATACACCTCAGGGATTCAAGAGCATAAGTGAGTTTTACTCCAAGAGTCCCCTTGTTGCGAGGGACCTCCCACCCCAGCACCCTAAGTTAGAGAACAACCTGCTCTGGACCACGGTTGGCAGCGTCTGAGCTCAGGACCCTGAGCTGGTGGCCCCCTTTGCCATCCCTACCTGATCTCCTCGGGCCTGTGGTCCGGAAAGTGCTTGTGGAAAACTTTCAGCGCCTGCATCACGGCCGAGGTGCACTCCACATACGTGTAGTCGATCATGATGTCCCCTGGGAAAGGGAAGGAAGGATCGAGGTGCGTGAGCTTCACCTTGGCTGCCACATTTGGCAATTCAGGCCAAACAGTGATGAACAAGAGAGCCGGAACGTGCAGAGGCTATATGACAGATTGAGAGCCTGACCATCTTCCAGAGGAAGCCAGGAAGGCACCACTAGCACTGGCCCAGGCAACACGGCCACCAGGTGGGAGGGCGGCACTGACGTGGGTGACCTGCAGACCCATCTGTGCCATGGGACAGCAAGGCCACAGCTGGGAGGTGAGGGGCGCACAGCAGAGCTGCACCCCACCCCAAAAAGCCCTCCACTGGAACATGTTTGACAGCTATAGGAGCAAGATAAATGGAGACCCAGAAGAAGGGGTCCAAGGGCATGCAAAGGTAGACCAGGGTAAAGAACCTGCCCTTGCAGACCAAAGCACGACACAGCGCAGAGGACACATGGCCAGTAGGTCCCCCTGACACCTCCCTGCGAGGTGCCCTAGGCTCCGTGAGGAGCGCTCAGAAGACAGGGCGGCCCCCACAGAGGACAGAGCAGGAGCCAGCCCAGGCCCAGGCCCGAGAGCTGGGTGTTACTCCCACCGAATCCTCCACCAACTGCAGCTTTTCCATCCACAACCAGGAAACACTACACCACTCTTGGAGGTTGAGGAGGACAGAACACTCCTTAAAGGATCTGCCATCAGCAGCCAGGGCCTTTGTTGGCACTGCCCCCGCCAGGGGAAAGAACTCAGGGCTCTGGTTGGCAAATCTACCTCAGGGCACACAGGCCCTGGGTTTGTCCGCCACACACTGCGGACTACTCACCGAAGACCTCCGAGGGGTTCAGCAGCTCCAGCAAGCGCCCCCCACGCTTGGTCTCATAGGTGGCAAACCCTCCATCGGGATTTCTCATGTTCAGCAACTAAAACCAAAGACAGAACATCCAGAGAAGTGAGCATGTGTGGGACCCCACAGGCTGTGGAGCTTTCCAGAAGCACCCCAAGGCTAAGAATCAATGGGGCAGGAATGGGGAACAGGGAGCTGGTTTTTACATTAAGCCAAGACCCTCAGGGGCTCAGAATAGTGGGCTGCAACCTTTATCGATCGGTACTCCATGAGTGACCATCTGGTAACACACCCCACAAGTGCGTGCTTACCCATTTATAAATCATCTAAGTACTGTCGAACTATATGATCTCCGTTATAAAACAGTCACAAAAACTGGAAGTGCTAAAAGGATGTTGCACAAAAACAAACCGAAATTCTCATCTTTTCTTCAGGCAGCCAGTGAAGACTGCCAGATCTCCCTGGGGAGGCCCGTGGAGAGCGACTGCATCTGTGAGCCTTCAGAACCGGAGAGAAAACTCGGGGCTGCAGCAGCCACCCCTTGGTCAGGGTCTATCCAGGGCCCCCCCGACCCCTGGGGCTGGGCCCAGGACGCCAGCTTGCACACCCATCAGGGGAGCACAGGGCTGTGCACACACCCAGAAAGGGGCCCCTGCTGGCCCAGCACAGTTCACAGTTCTCCAAACAGGTGCCATCAGAGGATGGGCCCCCTCCGCCCGGCTTGGAATGTTTGCCCAGACAGAACCCTTGGGCAGTGGAGGCAAGTGCACACCTCCCATGCAGCACTAATGGGACCTGAGGGTTTGTGGTGGGGTGGCTGGGATTTCTGCATGACAGCACCCTCAGCACCCAGGACCAGAGCCCCATGCCCAGCAGCCTCACCACAGCAACAGCATCAAAGAGCTGCTCTCGTGGGACATGCTTGGTGACAAAGGAACACTCTTCCTGCAGGAGAAGGATGGACTTCAAGGCCTCAGCTGTGCAGTCAGCAACGATCCAGCCACAATCCACCGTGCTGAAGGGGAAGCCACCCTGGAAGATGCGGGAGCTGTGACTGCCAGGGCTGAGGGCCAAGCCCATACCCTAGTCTTCGGGTCCACCCGAGGCCACGGCACCTTCCTCACTCGTGCAGAGCCACAGCTCAGGCAGAGGCCCATCCACCATGACGGTATGGCCGCAGCCCCAAGCCACACACATACGGACAGGCCTCCAGTTTCCAGCACAAGGACCCCCACAGGACTACAGCCTCTACCCATCACTGCCTTCAGACTCCACTGTAGGGCGGGCACCAGAAACATCCGCAGGCCCCCTCCCAACCCACCGTGAGAATGCAGCCACAGCTGTGTCCACGCCCTCACACACAACGGAGGAGAAACTGCCATTTCCTCCCTCTGCCCGCCCCTGACATTCTAGTTCACATTCTGATAGCTAATTCAACACCTGTACGTGCTGCTGTCTGACAGTGTCTCTGAGGCACGGACACCTTTGTGCACACAGCGTGTGATGTGGTGGCACGCAGAAACCCCATATGCCTCAGCTACCCCATTTGTACACAATTCCTTGGTCAGGGATATCTTAAGGGTGTTGGTGGGATCCCACACCGTGTGTCTATCAGAGCAGAGAGCCCCAAGAAGCTGAGGGAAGAGCCCCCCTCGAAGGCAAGGCCCAGCCAACCAGGGGTGGGTGGGGTCAGCCCGTGGTACCTTGTTCATCTGGCGGTAGTACTTCTGGTAGTTGGGCGGGCTGTCTGGGATCTGGGCAGCATCCAAGGGGCACATGTGGAAAGTAAGAGAAGGGAATACGTCACCACTGTACACAGACACCAGCGCAGGGAAGGACCAGCACAGCAGGACGGGGGCACCCAGTGCTGCTACCCTCTTGCCCACCATCAGTGCCAGAAGGGACCCTCGAGGCATCACCCACACAGCTCACCACCCAGAGCCTCCACCCACTGCGAGGGAAACACTACCAGGGCTCACCCTGAGCTGGAGAGGGCAGGGCGAGGGGGCAGCCCTGCCAGTAGGAGGGCTCCCCACGGCCCCCAGGCACAGGCCAGACTCAGCCTCACCTGTGAGATACGGAGAAACTCATGTGCCTTCTGCAGGCAGGACAAAAACTCGGGCCGATGTTGTGCACCTGCCTGAAAGAGAGAACAGAGGCTGAGCCGCTCACTGGCACAAGCCTACACGGGGGAACTGGTTCCCAGACTATCCTGGCTACGTCTTGCCACCACTGGGAACCAGGAGCAAACCCACCCAAGTCTCGGGGTGCTTGGGTTTCTGCCCACAAGTCCGAAAGACATGATGGAGAAATGAAGCGAGCAGAAGACCGCACCACACCTGCCCCAACCAGCACCCAGAGGTACCCGCCCGTCTAAGGCAGGCACTCATGGAACCCAGACCCCTTTCCAGGGCTCTCCAGAATTCCAGCAACCCCATTCTCACCAGCATACAAACATGCTCCTGTTTCTCTCTAGTATGCGCTCAGAAGTATTTGTAACAAGCAGTTGAGAAGAGCCTGGAGCCCACTCCCACTTCTAGAAACCCCCACTGCCATGTCTCCTCAGGAACAGCCCTCATGAGGCTTCCTGCTCCTGAAGCCTTCAAGCCAGCCCACCACCCAGAGCTGCTGGTGGGACCACTGCCTTGGTGGGACCATCGCCAGAGGCCTCAGGTAAGCACAGAGTCAGGGTCAGCAGTGCCAAGTCTGTGCTGGGTGCAGGGGTGAACACACCGGAAGGTCTGCTGGAGGCTGAAGAACCAGGAGACAGAGCCACGTACCTCCAGCATCGCCTGGATGGCAAATGCCGTGTCCCAGACCTGGGAGCCGTTGGTGCCCTGCATGGAAAGGATGAGCCATTACAGAAGCTGCTGCAGCGTCCTCCCACCCACCCACCGCCTCCTGGGATCTGACAGGAGCCTGGGGCACCGAGGAGGGGTTAAGGGGCTCCCTCCAGCTCCTGAAAAGAGGTGGGAGCCCAGGTGACTCCTGACCCCAGGCTCTGGGCTCTGTGCACTCCTCAAAGCCTGCGAGGGCCTGAGAAGGGCTGGTCCTACAGATGGACACAGGTCAGAGAGTCCCACCTGCCTGCACTGGGCCACCAGCCAGGACAGGACTCTCTCAGGGCACATCTAGGATTTGGATGACCACCACCTGTGGCCTCCACTGGCCCACCCACCCGATGACAGCCTCACGCCCCACAGTGGTGACCACCCCCAACTTCCGAGGATGCCCAGAGGTGGTGGGGCCTGGCTGAGGCCTTGACAGGGCTGGGAAGGCCCCCCTCAAATCCCACCCTGGGAGCCTGGTTCACTGGTCGACACTCTGGTCGCACCAGAAGCCAAACCCCAGTGAGGCAGAGCTGGACAGTGACAGACACGCAGATAGTGGGGATGGGGCCCAGACCACCCAGCAGCACTAAGGGGCACCAGACATCACGGCCTTGCGGGACCACGTGTGGGAAGAACACACTGCACAAAGACAGCCACCCGGCCAAAAGAAACCTGAAACGGATCAAGTCTCAGGGTCTAACCACCAGTTTGCAGAAAATACGGGGCGCAAAAGAAGCAGCTAGGTCAGGTCCAGGCGGACACTTGAGGGAAGGAAGGGTGCTCAGTATCCCACTGGGCCTGCCCCAAAGGGCCCAGTTGCCTGTGTGACCCAAGGACATTGCTGGAGGCTCTGCATTTCCACACTGAGCCAGGCGGGTGACAGCAGACAAACCCCCGTGGGGTGGCCCTACGGCTTCCAGGCTCACTGCCCCCAGGGCCCCTGCAGCCAGGAATGCCCTGTGATCTGGCACCCCCACCCCCAGGTTCATGCACAGGAAATAAGCCGGGGTGGGGGGTGACAGTGCCAGAACATCATCTCCAATATCAGAACGCTGGGAATCAGCCAAACAGTGCAAAGTCGTGGAGAAGGAGCACGTGGGACTGCGTCTCAGAACCAGCGGATGCCAGTCACAGGCCCTTACAGGCGGGAGGCCCTGCACGTGCTCAGCTGGAGGGCCACAAGGGCACACGTTCTCCCCCTACCCGAAGCCTCCTGCTCCCCTGCTCTCTGCTAGACAGACGCGGTGTGCGAGCCCCGCGGTCAACCGTCCTGCAGCAGAACTGGGCTGGCCCACTGAGAACTGCGTGTGACACTTGTCCCCTCCTGACCTGCAGCTCTGAACTGCTTTGGTTTACAGACTGCTCTGCTCCCACAGGGTAGCTACAGACCCTCAGCTCTCCCATGACCCCTTGGGGGCTTCTCGGCATCCCGGCCAGATGGCACACACCCAGGAAATGCCCAAGGGTATCCCCTCAGGTGCAGGACTGAGGGGACTTGCAGCCACCCACCACACACAGCCAGAACTCATCAGGAGTGATCTTTGAATCTTAAATCCAAAAGGCAGGAATGGTAGTAATGGAAGCAAGCACCTGTGGCCCTGCTGCACTTACCTGCATTTTCATACCATCAAGGCCCAGCCTGTGAGGATGAGAAAAGCCCAGGTCAGGGAGCAATGGGCAAGGAGCTGTAAGTCAGGCGGCCCTCCACAGCCCACACCCAAGACAGCAGCCTGCTCACTGCCATGGGTGCATCGCATGGCTTCCCTGAGCTCACATTCGACAGGGGTGACACAAGGAGGCTCCACCGCGGCTACCAGAGGGAAGAGGGCCTCCCTCAAACACAGGACTCCCTGCCGTGGGCCACACTGGGCCACACCTGCCCTCCGTGGTCCCTGTGTAACAGGAGCCCCACTTCTGGGGCACAATCCATGACTTACCAGCTCTCTTTGTCAACAGGCCTTCCTGACATTCACCTGAACCTGCCCCCGTCCACCCACAGGCTTCCTAGTTGTACCTTCCGGAACCACCCGAAGTTTCTGCTAGGTGGCAAATCTTTTAATTCAAAGCAACCTTCATCAGCTTCCAGAAACCCTAAAACTCCTGGTTCTAAGCATTACTCAAGACACCACGGCACCCTCGCCAAGAGAGGCCCCCATGCGTGTCTGCACTCAGCTCTCAGCCACGTCTGTTAGGGACCATGCTTGACGCCAACCAGCCAGGCCCTTCCCTGTTGCACTCACCAGAGGTAATCACAAATCCTAGAGACGTGCTCCTGAAAAACAGGGGAGGCTGGCCCGTCCACATACCAGCGCACGAGCATGTTGATGGTTTTTGAGATCTGCAGGAGACACGGGCCTGTCAGGGCTCTGCCCAGACCTGCAGCACCCTCTCAGGTGGGAGGGCTGCAGCTCGACCCCACTGAGGCCCCAGTACCGCCTTGCTCCGGGCCAGATGCCTTCTGCTCTAACCCGCATTTCCCGAGCACTCACTGCTTCCAGGCCCCGAGAGCAAGAGACCTAGCCACAGTCAAGCCCCAGGAAACAGTCTCTCTCTGAGGGAGGCAGGAGGGGGCCAAGGCGCCTGCACACAAGGAGAAGGCGGGGCGGTCCACAAGAGGCAACGTGACCTGAGCCAGCTGGTAACCGAGCAGAACCGCCATGAGGGTCATGGGCACGGCTGGAGGCCCCCGGGGGGCATGTGGAGTGTGGCACGTCCTGAACTGCCTTAGCTAACTCTGGGGTCTGAGGGGATAGGACCATCTGAGGAACCCAGGAGAGATGTGGGGACAAGCCCTGTGTGGCAGGGACTGCTACTCAGAGCAGAAGGCACTAAAAGCCTATATCTTCTATTTTGAGATCTCTGAAGTCAAGATCCAAAAACCGCATTTCTAACAAGTCAGACATGCTTTATGAAGCGTTAAGTTGAAGTCCCCACGGAACCATGTTGCTGCTAAAAAGAAAACAACTGGCTACTCCGTGAGACATCAGGGTTTACCACTCACTGGGTCATGAGACCCAGAAAACACCAAGAGGCACGGCTGGGAGTGGGGCTCGGTGACACTGCGCCAACTGGGTTCACCCAAAGAACCTGTGGGCTGATCCAGCATGGCACGGAGGCTGTGGTCATGGCCCACTCGGGGGCTTACGATAACTCTGCCTCCTGCATAGTGGCACCACAGCTATGAGCCGGCCTCCCCCACCCTGCGCCAGTCAGTGTGTGTCTGGCCACTGGGACACACTGCCCTGCATGTGTGTCCACCCCTGGCCTCTGCTGGGCCTCATGGCCCCACAAGGCAAAGCCAAGTCAGGAGTCCAGAAGCTCAGAAGTGAGAGTTCCCAGTCACCAGACTTGCAGGAACCAGAAATGGAACCCATGCACCCCTGGCACTCTAACCCCAATAAGAGAAGGACAGATGGTGGGTTACGAGGGGTCGGGAAGGGGAGAGCATCCAGGCAGGAAAAGCACCCCTCCCCACTGGGGAAAGGTCTCGGGAAGTGGTCTCAAGGAGCAGCCTCCAGACATACCAGGTGATGGGGGTGGGAGGAGGGATAAGCACGGGGCAGGGATGAGATCGGGGGGCCACATCCCAAATAAAGGTCTGCCAGGCTCTGGTGGGAGACCCCGCCTCTGGAGAGACCCCTACTCCCAGCTCCACGGAGACTGGCCTCCGGGCCTCCCATCCGGGTCCTCGCTCCACCCAGGAGCTGCAGGAGGGTGCCCACCCCGGACCCAGACACCCAGTGGGCAGCGGGCACTGACCGGGCCAATGCTGATGCACTTGGTGAAGCGGTCGTCAGCCGCAATGTGCTCGTACAGCTTCTGGACGGCCCGCTGCCGCAGGCTGGCACTGTGGTGGCACTCGTACAGGTTGAGGATCACTGCAGGGTCAAGGGTGTCAGGGGCGTGAGGCACAGACAGCAGGTCCTGGCATGAGCTCGGCCCAAGCACGGACCTGATGGCAAGGCGCCCCGCACAGTATCTGGGCCCTTCCTCCCTCCGTCCTCCATCGCCCCTCACTGCACCCATGCAGCCTGCTCCTCCCCAACATCCTGGTGTGCTATCCTGCCCTGGCCCTGCAGTGGTGTTCAGGGTGGTCTCCAGGGAGTGGAAACCCAGCCTGGTTGCTTCTCATCATTGACCAGGGCAGGGACCCAGCTCCCACCCGAGGGCCCGGCACAGAGGTGCCCAGTGCCCATCTGTGGAATGAGTGAGTGAACGAACGAACAAATGAGTGAGGGATCACAGCTGCTTCCACACACGGCACCCTGTGCTGGCCTCAAAGGGGAGGCTGCACAGCTCTGAGCAGCCATGGTTCCCACAGGGAGACAGGCGTGGACTGGGCCTCATGGGGTCCTTCCCCTTCCCTCCCCCACGGAAGGAATGACGGGCCCCTCCAAGGCCCTGAGCTCAGAATCCTCTTGTCTGGGAGCCCAAGCCCCAGGCTTACCCAAAGGGCAAGGACAGGGCAGGTCGCTGGACATGAGGCGTGCACGGCCAGCCCTCCCTGGTCACCACAGGACCCAAATGACAGGCCCTCAGGAAGCACCCACCATACACCACGCGGAGCAGCCAGCTGTGCGGCGTGTACAGCTCGTCAGGGGCCACGCTGTTCCTGTGTGCCGGCCAGTCGATGCTGGCATAGTCCTCCACGTAGAGCTCCTGCAGGGCAGCAGTGCCTCAGCCCGGTCTGCCTACAGCTGGTCTCCTCCCTCTGCCTCTCCTCCTTCCCAAGGGCATGCCCGAATGAACATCCTGCACCCCAACCCCATCTCAGGGCCTGCTTCCTGGGGACACACTGTGGGCCAGGACTCTGCTCACTGGTGCCCTGCGTCCCTCAAAGACACTGGAAGATAGCCGCAGCTCATCCTGCCGCACAAGCCCCCCTGCAGTGACGGGACAGAGCAGTGGAGACTCCACCCTAACTCCAGGGGGCTCAGCTCTGCGGGTCCCAGGCGTGCAGGCCTGTGCAGTCGGACTGAAGGGTGACTCGAGGCCCAGGGTTGCTCACCTGGCGGAGGCTCTGGACCAGCGGGTCCTCCTCAGCGCTCAGCCGGATGGCATAGCAGTAGCTCATGGGCAGGTAAACCTGCCGACAGTGGCACCAGAGCGTGGAGGGATGTGCAGGTGCCCAGTCAGGAAACAGCCTAGGGGGACAGCATATCAGGAGGCAACCCCCAGCATCTGCATTGCCACCACTGCAGCTCCAGGCCCTTCTAAGCACGGATACAGGGTGGACGGCTATCCCTGGACCAAGTCGGCACAGATACCAGCACTTCACAGCCGTGCTCCCGTGGGGTGCGGTCAAACCCTCCCAGGGGCACTCCGCGGAGAGCCGACAACTCCTCCTCCTGATTCAGCCAGACGCGTCCCAAAACCAGGAGACCTAGCTCCTAAACGTTCAGGAATGTCTGTGGGTTTCTCAGTTGTGACACACAGACCGCAGTAACATAAAATGTTAATAACGGGGAAACGGGGCAGGGGTCTACAGGAACGCTCTGGATGATCTTTGCAACTTTCTGGAAAAGGTAAATTATTCCAGAATAAAGTTTATCTAAAAACCTTTAGGACTGTTGCATCTTCCCAAGACCTGAGTCTTTGATCGCTCCAACTTCCCGGTCGGTGCACCTGGGGTCTTATCTCCACCCTATCCCTTTAGGCTCCTGTTCTCATGTATGAGGGCACAGGGAAGCTGCAGAGAGCTGACTGCACATTCCCTGCTCCCAACTGTGAGAGTCGGGCAGGTGTCCACCAGCCCCCACCACCCCTGGCCACTTCCCTCACTGTCCTGAGGGCTCCCCCACTTACTTTAAAGGGTATTTTTTACATTTTAGGTAATATTTCCAGCTTTTCTCCAGCTGGAGTGGTTCAGGGTCTGCTTCTCCATCCTACACACCTGCCCTTCACCCTCTAGCTCACCCCCCCTCCAAAACTACTCCAGCAAAGATCAGCAGTGCTCTAGTTACCTCGAAACCCAGCACCGACTGCCAGGGCCCCACCACGGGGGTGGCACGGACAACACAGTCCTCCTCGACACCAGACATCGGCCTGACACACACACCCCTCCTGGCACCCGCTCAGTGCCTTCCTCTGCCCGCCCCTTACACATGGGCAGGTCCACGGTCCAGCCGACAAGCCTGCCAGTAAGAAATGCTGGAACGGTCCCAGAACACCTCCCGCCTCTTCCCCAGGGGTCAGCCTTGGGTAACAGCACCCTGCCTCCCCACCTCACCTCGCCATCCCTCTGCCTCCATCACTACCTCGTGGCTGTGGAGGCTAGGCCCTTGGCCCCTTCATCAGGACCCTGCTATCATCTCCTGACTGGCTCCTTCACCCCGCACCACCTTTCCTCCATCAAAGTCACCTTGTAACACAAGAGTCCCCCAACCTCCCTGACAGCTACCTGGGGGAACCCTGACCCTCTGACACTGCTGCAGGGGCAGGCAGGGGCTCTGCTGAGCTCCACCATGGTTCCAGGGGTCTCCTCTCCTGAAGGTGACACTGGGGTACTTATACATGAATGAATGTTTTCTGGGGAGGATGTCCAAAGCTTCCCTTAGATATTCACAAAATGTTAACAGATGCTGGTTACAGGTAACAGACAATAAGGTATTAGTGTTCATTTTGCTCAGCATTTAAACAGTATCGTGGTTCTGTTAAAGATTATCTTTTAAAGATACACAAGGAAGTGTTCACAGGTGAAGTATGATGTCTGGGATTCACTTTAACAAGGGGAAGGTGAGAGAGCACAGCACACCCCAACTGCTGTGCTGCTGAGGGTGCGCCAGCTCGGTACCTTCTCTTCTCTGCTTCTAGAGATGCTCAAGAGGTCCGTAATAACAAGATGCAATCACGTCGTCTATGCACCCACTTCCCACACCAGTGGTTCTGCAATCAGCCCCACAGGGCCCCACCCGCCTGCCACATGGCCCAACCCCACAGCACCTCCCCCTCTCCTGCCCAACTGGGAACCCCTTCTGTCCATCTGTAGGATTCAGCCAAGCAGGGCCTCCGCCAGGAGCCTAACACCACCCCACTCCACAGAATGGACTGTCTCTCGTCTGTGTAACAGGCAAGTGACCCAGGGCCCCATCGCTCCACTCAGTGAGGCAGTGGCGACTCAGCCACCAAATCAACCATAGAGGGGCAAGCATACCACATCTCTGGGAACAGGGTGTTGAGGCCTTCCCAGCTGTAAACGTTCAGAACAGCCAGCCAGAACTTCCCCCAGGATGGCACACCCACAGCACCACCTGCAGAGAGAGAACAGGCCCATAACATCTGCCTCTAACTGCAAAGACTAACCCCTCAGGAATCCTGTGCGCCCCTTCTTTCATGAACTGAAGGCAACATGCTAAGGATCCTCCAACCCCCGTGAGAAGCAGGTTCCAGAGGAGCTCAGGACTGCCCAACACCACAGCCGCTGCTGGAGGAACCAGTGGCTTCCCCAGAATGAGTGTGTCCAGCCCCAGGAGAGGCATTCGCAGCCCCTACTGCCCGGGGAGAAGCACACAATGGCAGCTACCTGGGAAAGTGAGGGGCCCAGACGTACACAGCAGCCCATGTCCACATGGGCCTGGAGAAAGTGATGAGGGGAAGTGAGCACGCACACTTGGCCTTCTCCCTCTCAGGGCCACGCCTAGCTGCCCCTGACCTGTGTATCCCCACTCAGCAGATGGTCTGGACTCCAATATGGCTGTTGACAACACTTGTGGCCCCACGATGAAGCCACCCCCAACAGCACCAGTCGCAGGCACAGAAACACTGTCCTAGACATGCTTCACAAGGAGGCCTCACCCCAAACCCATGCGTGTGGAAGTCAAAGACCCAGGAAGCTACTAGGGAAGCATGGCCCAAAAACAATCCTTCACAGGCAAGGAACCAGAAAGCAGCCTTGAGAAGTCAGGCCGATGAGACTAGAGGCTAATGATGAATTCATTATAAGAGTAAAACATATGAAGAAGAATGCAGGGTCGTGTTAGAATGAGCACCAGGAGGCTTAATCTAGCCTGGGAGGTCAGGAAGGGCTCCCGAGGAAGTGACATCAAAGGTGCCAGGTAAAGGCTAAGTAGGAGTTCCCAAGGCAGCGGGGTGGGGGGGTCGGAAGGTGGGATGTCCCAGGCAGACGGAAGCAGCACATGCAGAGCCCTGAGGTGGGAAGGGGCTTTGAGGAGCTGACAGGATGGAAGACGGGTGGATCGAGGAATGTCCATAAGGCAGGCGGGTGAGAAAGCTCTCGGAGCAGCGGGAGCCATGGAGCCTCCCCAAGGCTGTAATTAATCGCCTTCAGAGCCCACAGGTGAGGGGAGAGGTGCCACCCGCTAGAAGCCCCACAGAACACACAGGAAGGTGACTGTGGAGGGGGCGACTGTGGAGGATGCGAGCAGAGTTCCACTGGCTCCTGCTACTCTTCTGTGGCCAGGCTGCCCTCCAGAAAGGTCACACCAGGAATACTCCCTCAGGCAACGTAGTAGCTTGTTGTTTGTAAGTTTTTGCCAATTTGTGAAACACACTGAATTATACAGCTATCTTAATTTGCTTTTTAACAAAATTACGGGTAAGGGGCCAGCCCGGTGGCGTAGTGGTTAAGTTCATGCGCTCCACTTCAGCGGCCCAGGGTTCACAGGTTTGGATCCCCGGCGCAGACCCATACACCACTTATCAAGCCATGCTGTGGCAGCGTCCCATATACAAAATGGAGGAAGATGGGCACAGATGTTAGCTCAGAGCTAATCTTTCTCATCAAGAAGAGGAGGATTGGCAATGGATGTTAGCTCAGAGCCAGTCTTCCTCACAAAAAAAAAAAAATTACTGGTCAAGTTAGGCAGTTTCCATCTATTTCTGCTTTGATGAATTCCCGGCTCATGTGTCTTGCCCAGGGTTTAAGTGGAGGGGCATCTTTTTATTTCTCATTTTCAAGAGCCTGTGATGCTGAGGGGACATGGACCTTTTTATCCAGCACACACTGTGCAGGGTATACCTTTCTTATGAAGAATGTTCCGGGCTCGTACCAAGTCAGGATCATCAGGCCCAACACCCAGAATCCTCAGAGACACATAGTTGAGCGCAGTCCCAAACACTGTGGACTTGTCCTCAACGTGCCTACGGGAATGGAGACAGAGTGAGAAAATGACATCTTTCCCTACTTCTAAGAAATTAAGCAATGCTTTCAGTGAAATTTCCTCAGAAAATCAAGAATGCTAAAACATCCTACACTGACATAACATGACAACACAAGAAACATTCAAAACAGCCATTCTCCATGGGAGTTCACGCACCTCCCATGACAGCTGCGCAATTCCAAAACTGCCTGTGCAGGACCTGCCTGCCTCCTCTGCACACTTCCATACCTGAATCCACACAACCAGTCCCAGGGCAGCTACCCAACTAAGTAAGGCTCATTCATCACTACAGCACCACAGAGGAAACCCCACAGGCAACATGTCAGGGCAGGCAAGACCCTGGGCCCATCCGAAGGCATGGGTGAGATCTCAAGTCTGCCATAACATGCCGGGACCCAGAGGCCAGAGAGCTGAGGCCTCAAGTTCAAGAGGCCCACCCATCAAGGAAGCGAGCACAGGCTTAGCCGTCCTCTGGTGTGGATTTAGCGCACCCAGGAGGGGGCCCACCCTGGGTGTAGGACAAGAAGCACCAGAGCCCAAACGAGGGAGGGGCAGGCAGTTGACCACCCTTGGGGAGGGCCCTGCTCCCAGGGTGAGCTATACCACCGAAGGGCGGGCTGAGACCTGGGGAGGGCTGCCTGGCCCCAGCTCCACCTGCTGCCACCCAAGTCGAGAACAATTTCTTTCTGCCTTAGTGATAACAGCCAGATGGTTTTCACTGTGGTGTGTGCGTCTCAAGAGTCTCTCAACCAGTCATGAAACCCATTTACAACACAAACTGTGAAACTGAGGCCCAGAAAGTGAGCAGCCGCCTGTTCTGAGACCCCCCAGGGAAACCAAGGCCCAGCCTACACAGAGCCTCCAGCTCACTTCCCTTCTGCCAGGCTCTCTCCCTACTCCTCAACAGGTGCATCTCCTACATAACAACACATGTGCACATGCATTCACACATGTGCAGTGACATGGGGTCAGGCAGACTCACAGGCCCCAGCCGCCGTCAGGGAGCTGTACCGACCGCAGGTACCGTACCATCTCTTCTCTATATCCAGCCGGCAGATGGATGCGCGCCACATGGCATGCGATCAGGAGGCCTATATGGCAAAAAAGATGTTCCCTGCTGGGAGCAGGCACTCAACACTGCTAAGCCCAGGCCCCTTTCCTCTTGAGGAGGACTCCACCTGACAGAGAGCTGTCCCAGGGGGCCTCCTTCCATGGAAACAAGCCTGGAAAGGATATTCCTCCCAGCCCCATCAGAGACTTTGGGAACAGGACCCCAGGGAAGGGCAGCAACAGCACACGTAACACTCCCCACATGGGGTGGGTGGAGCCCATCCAGCCATTCCAGGGTCCCACAATATTGTCACATCTGCTAGGAAAGAAACGCCATCCAGGGGTGACATTTACTTGTTTATATTTATATTTTTCTGTTTTATAAATTTTTTAATGGCATATGTCAGTTTACAAATGGGAGAGATGGACAACAATAAATATTATCCAATATTACAACATAAAAATAAATATTAGAACTTTCCATTCCCAGCCAGGCCCTCCTGAGCATGGTGCTCACAGGCTGCCCCTCTACCCCTGCACTCCACCCTACACCCCTCGTCAGCTCCATCAGCCACATGCCCACGGCACCCAGCACAGGGGTGTCTCAGGGCAGGCCCTGGCCACAACACACCATAGAACAGATGCCTTACTCCAGCTCAGAGACATCAGAAGCCCCAACAGACATACCCACACACAGACACACCCGCACACAGACAGGCCCTGGAAGAAGGGCAGCTAGATGCAGAGATGCTGCAGAGGTTCACAGAAAACAAGCCATCCCAAAACAAGCCTATCTCCTTTCAAAACAGTTATGATGCTGTCAAGACAGGGAAACACACACACAGGCAGGAAGCAGAGCCAGTGTCTTCCCCATTTTACAGGCGAGGTAACAAGCACAGCCCCTAAGTGGTGGGACCCCAGAGTCGGTGCTCATCATAGTGATGCATATATGTGCACATATGACTGAACTCAATTCTCATCATCCCCATGTCATAGATGAGGTGGTCAAGGCACGGTGAAGTCCTGTCACCCTGCCCACGGTCAGAGCAGGCCAATGCTGTGTCACTGCCTCCCCATGAAGACCTCTACGAATAGTCAATGCCACACGGGCCACGCTCAAATGGGAACCGTCTTCACAGATTCATGGCCCCCAACAGCATTTTCTGAATTAAAGCAGGAAAAAAGACTAATCAAATCTCAGCCAGCCATGGAAGAACCCTGGTATGGCACCCCAAACAGGCCACTGTCAACCTGAGAAATACAGTCTGTCCAGAGTCCAGAAAGGGGAGAGGAAAAGCCCCAATGTGCAGTTGCACAGGGGAGGGACCCGACAGGCCAGGCCCAGAGCTGCAGCAGCAAGCACAAAACAGTGCAGCCGGCCCAATGACCACATGCCACTGCGTGTCTGGTGCTGCGCACATATGACCGAACCTGATTCTCATCACCCCCATGTCACAGATGAGGCAGCTGAGGCATGGCGAAATCCTGTCACCTTACCCAGGGTCAGAGCAGGCCAATGCCATGTCACTGCCTCCCTAAGAAGACCCCTGAGAAGAGTCTCAACAGGCTCCAGGTGGGGCCAAGAGAAGAAAGAGCCCCTTGACTTGTCCCCAAGGATAGGCCCATGGGTCCCTGGACAGGAAGACACAATGTTGTACAGTACAGCAGGCAGCAAGGCTTGGAGTCAAAGCAGAGACAGAAGCTTGACGGATTCCCAGTGCTTCTCCCACTAGGGGAAACGGTTCTTTGGCATAATCTCACAGGAGAGAATTTCCTGTTACAAGGCTGAGTATTTCTTTAGAGAAACAGTCCCAGGATGCAAAACAGTCTTGTCTAGCCAAACCAGCTCAGTACCCAGGGGGCCCAACTGCAATCCTCCTACAACTCACCAACCTGAAGCTACAGGACCCGGCCTGAGCTCCCTCAGCAGTACCCCTTCAGGGTGAGTGCACAGGCCAAGCTGCCTGGCCTCTCCCCAACCTGCCCACAGAGGACTTAAAGATCCCCACCACCACCCTGCCCACCTCCAGCACCTTTGCATCGCCTAGGCCCTGCACCTGGAGTGCCCCTCTTCTGCGCTGGGATTCAAGAGCCACTCCTCCTCTGCTCCCTGGAGCACCCCTTGCTTCCCCTATCAGAACACTGGGCCAGCTGTGCCTTCACTCCATCCCCCAGCACCAACGTCAGGAGAGCTCAGGCACAAGGCAACCCTCCCCAGCAGTCTTGCCCGTGAGCTCCTAGGTTTTCACCTGCTCGCTCATTCACACCACAGACATTCACCAATGGCCTGAACCAGGTCAGGCAAGGACCCCAAGGAGGCCCTGGGGTGGCCTCGCCCACAGGGCAGGGCAGCACCCTCCTACCTGGCAGGAGGAAAAGCGGGCCACCGTAATCACCCGCCCAGTGCCCGTCCTCGGCCTGCAGCCCCATGTAAAACGTCATCCCATTCAGAGCCCCCTCGAAGGCCGTGTGGGCTTTGGGCAAATCCTTAAAGTAACTCCCCTGCAAAGCAGAAAAGAGATGAGAGCTGAGGGGGTCTACAGCCAAACCAGAGGAGCCGTCATTACTCACAGCCCAAGTCAAAATATGCATCTGAATTACCTTAAAAGTTTCACCCGTATCAATCAAAAGTCTCAAACTCTTTGATGACGGTATTAGCATCTCAGCAAAACAAAAGGACGGTTCCACATTCTCACAGTATTGCTTTCCAGTCACATATTTGCAAATTTTTTCACAACTTCTCCAAGACATCTTAAATGTATAAACCAGGCACCCAAGAGTCTGGGGTGGGGCACTGAAGCCCCAGGCCTGGAACTCAGGCCTCTCTCTGGAAGGGGTCAAGGGACAGCACAGCAAATAGCGCCAGGGCTCAACCGCGAGACCCCACTTACACTGCATACTCTGGGACTAGCTGACTTTCTTGTATGAAATGCACTGGATCAAAAACCTTTTCCTGAACAAAAACAAAACTAGACCAGTTTCCTACACACAGCTTAGCGATAAAAGGACTGAAGCAACTCGATTCATGCTCTGTCCTCCACTCAACAGATTTCTGGAGGACCCAGCTTTGGCGACTTGTGGCAACGGGCCACACATCACACACCTCTTCTTTTTTAACAGGGGAAAAACCCCCCTTCTCAGCTACCTTTTTAAAGCCTCTATTGGCTGTTGGGTGCTGCTGGCTACGGAAAGGGACGCCGCAGGTTTCTGGTGGCGCCCCGAACACTGTGTGACAAGCAGAGATGACCACTTACGGTGTCCAGTCCCAGTAAATGCGCTTCCAGCCCAGTCTGCTCTCGTCCAGGGTTTTCCTCTTCTTGAAAATACGTCCACACCTGCCTCCCCTTCTCATTGCTGAGCCGCCAGCGGCGGAGGTCGGTGGCGGGCTCTGTCTTACAGGGTCCCCCTCGACGCCGCAGACACCTGCAAACGACGTGCAAGCGAGGAGCCGTCTCGCCGGTCCCTCGGCAGGGCAGGGCCCAGCGGGGCCCGCCTGCCCCCCTCCGACAGCCTGGGGCAGGCCACTGCCGCTCTCTCCTCGCACAACGAAGCCCCTCGGCGCCGCTTCTGCCTCTGGCCACCGCCCGTCACCCTCCCGCAGAGGGGAGACACCCGCCAGCCGGACCTCCGCCCTCTGCCGCTACCGCCGGACCCCGACCCGC